AAGATTTTTTAAAAATTTATACAGGGTGTTTCATATTGAGTAATAACGATTCTGCTTAAACTGCTTGACGTTTAAAGCTGATTTTTGGCAAACAGATTGACTGTGGAGTGTAGAGGTTCGATAAGGAGGGATTTTTTGAATCTCAAATTCCAAGAGAGTGAAAACGCCCCTCAAATATTACAATATTTGCTATTTAAAAATCGGTTAGTCTTTCGGGAAAACGCTTGGACACGCATAATTTATTTTGTTTTTTTACATATTTTCAAATTTTTTAAAAAATCATACAGTGTGTTCCAAAAAGTTGGGTAATTGATTAACAACGATTCTGCTTAAACTGCTTGACGTTTAAAGCTGATTTTTGGCAAACAGATTGACTGTGGAGTGTAGAGGTTCGATAAGGAGGGATTTTTTGAATCTCAAATTCCAAGAGAGTGAAAACGCCCCTCAAATATTACAATATTTGCTATTTAAAAATCGGTTAGTCTTTCGGGAAAACGCTTGGACACGCATAATTTATTTTGTTTTTTTACATATTTTCAAATTTTTTAAAAAATCATACAGTGTGTTCCAAAAAGTTGGGTAATTGATTAACAACGATTCTGCTTAAACTGCTTGACATAAAAAGCTTATTTTTGGCAAACAGATTTTTCGAAAGTCAAATTCCAACGAGATAAAACTACCCCTCAAATATTACCAAGTTATATAATAATATCGCCATATTGTTTTTTCTCATGCTGACAGAAATGTGGGAAAATTTTATCCAGTTTGTATATTAATGGAAATTCTTGCTTTGCTTTATCATCACAATTACAAATGATTAATTCGAGGCGAATAAAGTCCCGGATACACGCTACTGACGCTACTATACAATAGTTGTGTACTAGGAAGTAAATTTTCTTGCATATTTTCATGGATATGTTTGTAGCGTCTGAATAACGGTCTAGGTAAAGCATCTAGAGCAGTTGCCAGCTTAGAATTGGAATTATTAGAGTTAGCTATACGATCTGAGAAAATTCCTTTCATTTAAAAGAACTATTGAGAAAAAGTTACTAAAAAACTCTTTCAATGCATACAGGATTTCTTCTAGAAATTAAGCAATAGAATAATCTTTAATTGCGCACATATTGAAACCACATTTATTTGTTTAATTAACTTTACCACCGGTTAAACACGATGCCATCATAATTCTTGTTGGACATCTTTGGCTTTCGAGAAAATCCATTAAAATGTTATGTTTTGCAATTAAATCTACGCGAAAACAAGTTGATAGAGATATTAGCATAGAAACCACATATAAGCTGAACATATTTCAATCCAATAATAATTATTTTTATTTCGTAATTTACCTGTCTTACCACTAATGTGCATGGATTTTGTTGTTTATTTGTTTTAATCGATGTTGTATATTAACTAAATTCTATGATGGGTATATTAATACTAGCTTTATACCACTGTCACTATTATTAATTGCAGTCAATAATATATTCTATATATTAAATTCATCGTTAACCAGGTACTTTTAATTTATAGTAGATGGTTATTATAATTTAGAGCATTTCTCTGATATAGATACTGATATTACTATGAAACAAATTATACAATATAGATATAAAAAGTAGGACTTTGTATATTTTATTTGTGGCTCCCTATCAACTAAATATTCACTGTAATTCTAGATAATTGCACCTATCTCACAAAAATCGAGTTTTAACAAATTGGCAGTATTGAAAAATATGAAATAAGACTTCATTAGTTACTAAATTACTGTATTCTGAAACAGCTGGTGACTTGAAGTTTTCTATGCTTTTTTAGTTTGATTACATATAATTTGCTTTTTAAAAAGAAAGAAAGTAAGCAAAACAGACACATTTTTGATTAAATCACGAAAACATTTGGAGGTCTTGGTTTCAGAAATGAATATAAAGCAATTGTTGTTATTTTTATTTGTTATTAAAGGAATACAAGTATGGACTTTGGATAAGGTTGATTTTCTAAAAGATTATCTGAAGCTCAAAAGGCATCATGGTACTTTTGAGACACACTTGTGTTGGGACAAGGGTAATTTTATATAAAATAATAAAGCTATTGATAATATTCTTCTCTTAATGCTGTAGCATCCCTCACATATTTAGATCTCTCCCATTGTTGTCTATTATTTGCTATGCGAGCCCAAGTTATCCCTGCTAATTTCCTAATATCATGGTCCCATCTCAGGTTCGGTCTTCTTCTAGGTCTCTTAATTCATCATGGGTACCATGCCGAAATTTTTGTGGTACATCTGTTGTCCGTTCTTCTTGCCAGGTGTCCTGCCCATTGCCATTTGAGGGATTTGAGTCTATGGATGACATCTATTACCTGTGTCTTTTGTCGTATCCACTCTATTCTTTAACGGTTTCTCTTGGTTATTCCCAGCATATTTCGTTCCATTGGGCGTTGTGCGACCTGCAGTTTCCTTACGATGTCCGTTTTAAGTGTACCGGTTGAAGTGTCCATGCATAGGTCATGACTGGTAGTACATATTGGTCAAATGTTTTCTTTTTTAGATAGAGTGGCATTCTAGATTCCAATATGATTGAGTTTCTTCCATAAGTACTCCATGCTAACTTAATTCTTCTGTTTGGTTTGGTAGAGATCCCGAGCTGTGATCCTGAGTTGTTCCAAATATATATATTCTTCTCCATTCGGTTTTTCTCCATTCGGTTTTTCTACTTTCTCTATTCTATTTTTAACATAGGACGCGCGTTACTTCTGTCCATGTTAGTTCATAAGCAGATGAGTTTTAATCAGCAATTTTAATCATCTACTGATGATAACATTATAGCTAGCAAATCCTGCGTCCAGTGTTATAGGTAAAGTGTTGTGGTCGACTGTGTCCTAGTATAACTAGTAGAATTTTTTTAGAATTTAGAATGAGTGGGAGGGGGGTTAATCACTTCGACCTTACAGATCCATTGTGTCCCCCTTTCTTGAATCATAACTCATCATACAGTCCCAGGGCTTTGACAAAAGCCAGTATCTGGGACGGTTTTATAGAGGGTAGTTCTCCATCTCCAATATCAGTCGTACCAAAATTCATGGCACGAATGGTTGTCGTCTCGGCCCACTCAGTGATGAGGTGTACTGGTGTTTCCCATCTTCCCCACAGAATCTGCATTCGCCGTTTCTTCTTAGTTTCAATCTACTGAGGGTGTTCATTGAGGAGACAGTGTCCTGTTAAAAACCCCTGACAATCCGAAGATTGTTCTTACTCAGACCCAGGAAGATCTGTAATTTTTCTTGATCATAAGCCCTCAGAAACTTCTTCGAGTGTCTTAGACCATTGCAAGATTTCCATTCCAGGTTGCGGATGGAATCTTCCAAGTTCTTGAGTTCCGCCTTGAGTTGGTTACCACTTGGAAAGCAGAACGGTTCTGGTCCAGTTAGTGGAGTGTTAGCTCCTTTCCTAGCTAGATTATTTGCTTTTTCATTGCCTTCTATCCCTTGGTGAGCAGGCACCCAGAGTAGGAGGACTTTGTTTTCTTTGCCTAATTTATTCAGCTTCTCTATGCATTCTTTGACCAATTTCGAATTGATCGATACTGAGTTGATCGCTTTTAACGCTGCTTGACTATCAGACAAGATGGCTGTTTCTTGTTTCCGATAGTTGCTATCTAAGATAAGTTGTACGCATCTTTCGATAGCGTAGATTTCTGCCTGTAGGATACTAGGGTAAGTGCCCATTGGTTCGGAGTATTTAGCTCTCGGTCCAAACACTCCGATCCCTGTTCCCGTATTGGTTTTGGAAGCATCAGTATACCAAGTTATGGTATGGTCTTTTAACTGCTGGGCAAGCGTTTCGCTCTTCCAATCCTTCTTATTGCTCAATACTACATTGACATGTTTGTCAAAGTTGTACGTTCTTGGCATATCGTCCACTGGGAGTTGCAGGAGTGGTATTTCCTTTTGAGGGTGTTCCAAGCCCCTGATCTGACAATTCTCCCAGTACTAATTCCGTTAGTGACCATTCTAATCATTGTCGCATTGGCATATCTACCAATGACAATGTGCAGTGGTGTTAGATCTAGAATGACCTCCATTGCTGCTGTTGGACAGGTTCTCATGGCTCCTGTGATGCAAACACATGCTAGTCTCTGGACTTTGCATAGATTTAGCCTTGCCGTCCGTTGCTCTAGTTTTGTGTACCAGGCAACTGCTCCATAATAGTATAACTAGTAAACTAGTATTTAATTTCGCTCTACGTAAACGTACCGTATTTTAATTTTATTATTAAAAAATAAATTCAAATTATAACGTATGGCCACAGAAGTCTTGGGATGGTTTCAGACTAACTTAGTCTATAGTATTTTTTAGTAATTTTCTAGTTTTGCATTCCTTATAATAGAAAGACATCATTTTCTTACATTTACAAAAAATATTTTTCCAGATGATATAAATACACTTCTTCATTCTTTTTCAATTAATGGTCACCGATTTGTAACATTTAGTAATTCGACTGTTGGTTTACATCAAAAAGTTATTTATCGAACTTTTATAACAGATACAACTTGTGAATTTTTTGACCAATTATTTGAAGAGGTAGGTAACTAAATAGTTTGTCTATAGATAGCTTTACGACAGAATCATTCCATAAAATATAGGTAGGTCGCTGCTCAAGTGCTAAAACCCCAAAAAAAGTTTCTTTCCTTTTTTCTTCTTTACCCAGCTCTAAATATTACCACCAATTGCAGGCATATAACGAGGAATTATTTAAATACCCAAACAAATGGCTGATTTTTGGAAATACTGATCAATTAAGACGAAATAACTACTATTTTCCATTAAATAGCTACGTTTTGATAGTTAGCAATTCTACAAAATCCAACGGAACTTTCGATATATCCTCTTGGTATAAGATCAATGAATATATGGATGGATACACCCAGACTATATTGGGAAGTTGGTCCAATGACAAAGGATTTTCATTTTTTAATGATATTTCTTTGACGCGAAACAGAAGTAACATGGAAATGACACCTTTAAGGGTTTCTTATATATTCCAGTATAACAGCAGTTTACAACATATATACGACAACAGGTAAATTCTATATTCGAAATAAGACTTCTTCTTCTATCAAATTTTTCCTAAATACTTCTTCTACTATCAATTCTGCTTCTATTAAATCTGTCAATAACCTTCCATACTCCATTCGTAGTCTAATTAATAAAAATATATATTTTTTCTTCAGGGAGCGTCATTTGGACAAGATTACTAAAATTAACTATATATTATTCGACTTATTCGTGGATATATGGAATATGACTCACCTTAAGATTATTACAAAGGAATATGGCATGGAAATGGATCCCGTAAAGAAATTCTATAAAGGAATGTTAGGTGATATTTATACTGGCAGAGCTGATATTTCAGGTACAAAAATAGTATTCGCATTCAATCAACTTAATAAATCAAATCAGGAGAAAATATATTTAAAAAGTTTGATTGTGTACAAAACTATGCAGTTAAGTAAATTATAACGTGATATTATTAACAGGTAGGTAACTAAATAAATCTGAGATACCTACTGGGCATTAACAATTATTTAGTTTGGAAACAAAAATAAGAGTTTCTGGAATGAATTTTTGATATTTATCTTCTTTTTCTTCCTACTCTATATTAGGCAGATCGCCTGTTCATTCTTCACATCATTCCTACAGTATCAATCGATGGTAAGGTTATCACACCATCTTTTTCTTGGCCTTCCCGTGCTTCTTCTTCCCAATGGTGATTTGTCCCGAGCTGACCTTACTATTCTTCCATCGTTCATTCGACTTATATGTTCATTCCATTCGCGTCTTCTGCTCAATACCCATTCATCAATGCTGTCCACCTTGCATGTTTGCCTTATGTTGTCGCTTCGTTCTCTATCTAGCAGCGTTTTATCTGTGATTTTGCGGAGGATTTTCATCTCGTCTGTTTCCAAGAATTTCTTTGTTTTTGCTGTATCCGGTTTGGTTTCTGCTCTGTAGGTCATTATGGGTCTGACGACAGCCTTGTATATTCTTGACTTCACCTCGACACCTATACATTTATTTTTCCATATGGTGTCGTTCAGACATCCAGCCACTCTCATTGCTTTTGTTGTTTGTGGTCTTACCTCTGTTTCGATATCGCCAAGATTTGGATATTTATGTTGTTGAAAATATAATACTGGGACTAGTTACACTGTGTAGAAAACCGACTATAAGTTTATTATTCATCACAGGTTCGAGTCATTGCACAACTGCAATTTGCGTTTTTTATAGACTTATAACAAACGTTGTTCTGAAGTAAAATGCAGCTTATGTTGCATTAAGCATTCATGTACTGAATAAGAAACCATCTGAAATCATATGAAAGATAAAGAAAAGTTATGCGAGTGCAATATAAAAATTTATATTAAAATATACAGATTGGCATTTATAAATGCATGTATTACCATTGGTAATACAATAAACTTAACAATTTTTTATGGAGTGACATAGTAATATATCATAATAATTTATTACAACTAAAATATTAAATATAATTTATATAAAAGCTCAATTTTTTTCCAATTCCTAAAACGGCTACCGCTTCACCAATTTTGACTCTCCTTTTTCCATTTCAAGACATTCTCTAGCGATTCTGCTGGTATGGGGAGGTACATTATCTTGCATGAAGTTATCCCCAATTGCAGCTCTCCAAAGCCTAACAGTTGGTTCTAGCACTAAACCAACATACCTCCGACCCATTAAAGTTTGTTAAAGTGGTAACAATGGAGTTTTTACTCCCAGCATAATAGCTCCCCAGAACATTACAGTTCTTTCTTCATATCTTGGTACAGATTTGGCAGCCTGGAGTCTCGCTTGTCTTCCTGGAGCTCTAAAAACACGAATTTGATGGTCATCTGATTTTAGGCCAATTCTGGTCTCATCCGAAAAAAGTTTTGATGTAAGGCATCAATTTAGCGGTCAATTTTATTTTGCCGAGATAACTGTGAGACCTGTAACTCTCTTCTACTGTACAACCCTCGAGCACGAAGCCTTTTTCTTATGGTTTAAACTGAAACGTTCACACTTGTAGCTGCCAGAAGTAGTTTTTGTAGCTCTGGATGAGAAACATTGGGATTTCTTCTACCAATTTGGCACACAAAGCGTTCTTGTTCAGTTGTAACTCTTTGACGACTTTGTCTAGGCCTGTTCTTAAGAGTTCCTAGTTCCAAATACCTTGCATATATTTTCGATACAATTAATATCCTGGGTAACGCCTACTATCTCTTCTTCGTCTCTTTGGGGCATTCCTTGTTCAATGAGAGCAATAATTCTTCTACTCTATACATCTGTTAATCCAACATAAGACATTTTTTTACTTTTTTAGATCGAATGAAAATTGCCGGACAATCGTGATTTTACTACTGAACACAAAATTCATGATAAAATAAATCGCAGCAGTTGTTTGTTCTTTATTGTCATGTTTATTACAGTTGAGGGTTGGAACCTTTGGTGTTACACAGCAAAATAAAAACACTAAATCACCACAATACACCAAAACACTTTTATTTTACACTGGACGCGCGTTTCGCTAACCATGTTAGCATCATCAGCAGATGATTATAAACTAAAGTACAATCTACAAGTTGAGCGTTTATATACTCGCTCAGTGGGCACCAGTGGGCGTGGCAAAATCTAGCCAACCGAGTCAGAGCCCACTGAGCGTAACAGTTAGATTTCTGCCACTAGAGTAGTAGGAACAAAGAACTTGAAGGAATTGGACCGTTGTCTCTGTTCATACTGTCTTTACATTTATTAATTCTGATGCATTCATATGCATCTAATTGCCTGTAATTTGAGACTTGTTTAAGTAATTTTAAGTTATTAAGATCTATACAATGTTCTTTATCAACAATATGTTCGGCAACGCAAGATTTATCCGGTCTACCATATCCTATCTGAGCTAAATGTTCTTTAAATCTAGTTAATATTGATCTTCTAATTTGCCCAACATATTTCTGATTACAATCTTTACAAGAAATATCATAAATACCCGACCTTTCCAGTGGAGGTGTTTTATCTTTTGGATTACCTAATAATTGTTGTAATTTATTATTAGCACTATACACAAGTTTATAATTGACATTCTTAAAAATTCCTTTTAGACCACGGGATAACTCTCTATCAAACGGTATCGAAAAATACTTAGACGTATCTTTCTCCACTTGAAAAGTCGAATTTTCAGAAATCATTAACCTATACCTACGTTTTCTAATTAATTTATCAACTAGTGAAGGAGAATACCCATTACACTCAGCTACATTCCTAATGTAATCTCTTTCTATTTCATATCTTTCGTTCAAGAGTTTGCGTAACAAAGATTGTTTCTATCTAAAAGCTGATAAGGGAAATAAGGTTGTTATATTAGATAAAAAAGACTATTACGATAAGGTTAACAACTTAATCGATAATGGCCCCTACATAAATTTGAAAAAGAATCCTTTGTCTAAGATGGTAGCAGACGTTAAAAAAAAACTCTAAAAGAATGTAACACCCTTATTGATCTTTCTTTAAAGAGGAAATTGCAAGTATCCAATCCCTCATTACCAAAATTATATACTTTGCCAAAAAATTCATAAATGACAAGTCTATGCGATATATTGTTTCGGCTGTAGGTTTCCGACTTATAATTTGGCAAAATGGTTATCAAGGGAGTTCGAAAATTTACCTGATCATGAACCTTCTTTCTCAGTTAAAAATAATATTGAATTCATTAACAAAATTAAAGATATAACATTGCATGAAGGTGAAATTTTGGTCTCCTTTGATGTATCTTCGTTGTTCCCAAGTGTTCCAATTCCACATACTTTAGGCTACTTGAAGGAATTACTGAACGCAAATGGTCTCGACAACAAAACTGTGAGTGAATATATTGAGCTTACATCTTTATGTATGAAACAAAATTGTTTTCAATTTAATAACAACTTTTTCGAACAGCGGGAAGGTACAGCAATGGGTAATCCATTGTCTCCATTTTTGGCTAATTTATTTATGAGCAGGTTTGAAGTGGAGGCTAAGAATCAGTTTGAGTATTTTCCAAGAGTATGGTTTAGGTATGTGAATGATATTTTTGCTGTTTTTGACACACATTCAGACACCATAGATAATTTTGTTTCTAAGTTAAATAATCGTTTTCCTTCCATTAAATTTACGCATGAAATTGAGAACAACGACAGATTACCATTTCTAGATGTATAGGGTTATTAGAAATACTAATAATTGCCTGGAATTTGATATCTATAGGAAAAATACGACCACACGCAGATATATTCCTAATGAATCACATCATAGTGTTGAACATAAAATGGTTAGTTTAAATTTCTTAGTTCATAGATTACTTAGTTTCCCACTTTCCAACGAAAGATATGAAATAGAAAGAGATTACATTAGGAATGTAGCTGAGTGTAATGGATATTCTTTTTCACTAGTTGATAAATTAATTAGAAAACGTAGGTATAGGTTAATGATTTCTGAAAATTTTGACTTTCAAGTGGAGAAAGATACGTCTAAATATTTTTCGATACCGTTTGATAGAGAGTTATCCCGTGGTCTAAAAGGAATTTTTAAGAATGTCAATTATAAACTTGTGTATAGTGCTAATAATAAATTACAACAATTATTAGGTAATCCAAAAGATAAAACACCCTCCACTGGAAAGGTCGGGTATTTATGAAATTTCTTGTAAAGGTTGTAATCAGAAATATGTTGGGCAAACTAGAAGATCAATATTAACTAGATTTAAAGAACATTTAATTGCTCAGATAAGATATGGTAGACCGGATAAATCTTGTGTTGCCGAACATATTGTTGATAATGAACATTGTATAGATCTTAATAATTTAAAATTAATTAAACAAGTCTCAAATTACAGGCAATTAGATGCATATGAAAGCATCAGAATTAATAAATGTAAAGATAGTATGAACAGAGTCAACGGTCCAATTCCTTCAAGTTCTTTGTTCCTACTACTCTAGTGGCGGAAATCTAACTGTTACGCTCAGTTGGCTCTGACTCGGTTGGCTAGATTTTGCCACGCCCACTCGGTGCCCACTGAGCGAGTATATAATCGCTCAACTTGTAGATTGTACTTTAGTTTATAATCATCTGCTGATGATGCTAACATGGTTAGCGAAACGCGCGTCCAGTGTAAAATAAAAGTGTTTTGGTGTATTGTGGTGATTTAGTGTTTTTATTTTTTTTTATTTTGCCATGTTTATTTACAACAAAAAGCCTTATCTTAAAGTTGTATACCAATTTTTTTCCTTGCAAAAACTTTAGTCAGAAATAAAGAGTGATTCCATATAAGTTTGGTTGTGTGTATATATTTAAATATATAGGAAATAAGTATTATTAGGTTGATTTATATTAATTGTGACGAGATTGCTGAGAAGTTTGTGATATTGAAATGTTAAATTGTTAACACAGTAGAATTTAGAAAAATAAATATTTTTTATAAGCTACGTTTCTAGTCTAATAATCTTAGAAGTATAGACACAGTAACAATCTAATATCTCAAATATTAGTGTATTTTATATTTATTTTAATTTATTAAGAGAACTGAGATATGATTTAAGCCGGGACCCCGTTAGGCCACACGCCACGCTATCCCACGTGAGCCCACGTGTTGCGACGTGGGAAAGAGTGTACACATGAGATCTGGGACGATAGTGTGTACGCAATACATGTAATTAAATGGAAAAACATACGCACAGATCTTCATGACGTGGCGTTGCGTGTTGCTTCATGGGGTCCCGGCTTTACTGTTCTACTCACAATAGACTATTTTATTATTTCAGGTACTTTAGCTTTCACTCCCAAAGAACGTTTTCAGTATTTTCAATTCTTGGTCAACACCATAAGAGGGCTGTCACTAAACTTTATCTTTAGAGCCCCACCTCTACCTTATACATCAAACTTGTTCGCTCTACCTTTTAACAAATACGTTTGGTACGCTTGCGGCTTGATCGTGATTTTGTGCTGTTTGGCCATCAGAGTGATCATGAAATGGGAAGAAAAAGCACAAACATATATGAATGAACGTGAAAAATTTGGAGAGGATGTGCCTAGTTTCATGGATATTGTAATGATGCAGGTGTGTTCGTAATATAACTATGGCAAAACTGTTATATTTAACTGCATCTAACCATTATCGTTATTTTATGATTACAACAATAGCTTTTTTCGTTTTCCTGTTATTACCGATTCTGTACCGTCCTAGAATTGTGATGCGTATGCGCAGAAGGAAATATGAAGACATTATTTCATTTGCGCATGCGCTGGAGAGTTCTAGGACGATTCAGAACCGATAATACCAGGAAAACGAATAGACCTAATAATTGCATTTCGAGAAGTTACAACATTCTGTGCTATCAAGTATAAAACTAAACATCCAAGCAAAGAATATTATAGTTAACACAAATCCAAGTTACATATTACTTCAGCTACAATTTCTATATACAGAGTGCATATAGAAATATAGATGCAACTCCTGTTTCAATTTTCTGGGCAATTGATTTATTTATTATAACAGGGTGCGTCTCAAAACTGGCTCAACCCTATAACTTTTTTATTTTTTCAGATAAAAAACGAGATTTGGTATGTTAGTTATATGACATAAATTAGGATTGACTGACGTATTCAATTGTTTTCGGTCACTTCCTGTTTCACCGGAAATGACTACAACTTTTAATTTTTAATTTGCACCCTCAGTAGTTTTTTTAATTTATTCGATGGAAAATGACACTCTTCTTCTCGCTAAAAAAATGTTGTATTTTAAATTTCAATCTAAGTGCCATGGCTGTGTTAAAAACACTAATTTTTAATCAAGGAGCCTTGGAAAATTATATTTGATTGTCTAATGTTTTTAGTGTCTTATCCTGGTCGGTTAAAAGATGCCCAAATCGTATTTTTAATCATATCTCAATTTTTTCAAATGGAAGGAGGGTAGCTCATTGGCATATTTGGAAAAAGCATTTTTTTACGAATAATTTGGTGCCACACACTTGGTATTTCGGGTCAAATTGTCGTTATGAACATGTTACAATGTCAAATATATTACATATACATATGTGAAAATGTCAGAAGTTGAGGCATGATATGTCATCCTATTTAGAGTGTCATTTTCTATCGAATAAAGTAAAAAAATATCTAGGGTGCCATTTAAAAATCAAAAGTTATAGTCATTTCCGGTGAAACAGGAAGTGACCGAAAACAATTGAATACGTCATTCAATCCTAATTTATGTCATATACTAACATACCAAATATCGTTTTTTATCTGAAAAAATAATAAAGTTATATGGGTGAGCCACTTTTGAGACGCACCCGGTATAGTATAGGTACTAGTTTTTGAATATTAAAAGTATACTTGAATAACAGAGAATTTCATAACTTTGTGAAACGTCATAATTGTGTAAAAAATCAGTAAAAACAGTGGAACCATATATATGGTTCATTATGGTTTATACCTACTTCTAAAAAAACATTGATTTTGAATCAATTTTTTATTGGTTTTAGATTGCTGTAGTCTGCCAAATGGACTATTTCCACGAACCTAGAAGCGCTGCGGGTAAAATTGGAACATTTACTCTACTCATCACATTCAGCTATATTTACACAGCATTTTGTGCTAGGATAGTCATCCTTCTGCAATCAACATCTGATAATTTGAAAGATATGCGGGCATTGTACGATTCAAACATTAAAATGGGAGTTGAAGATTTGAGTTACAATAAATTTTACTTCAAGGCAAGTTCCTTTCAATTCTCTAAAGCGTATTAACTATTAACAAAACCTGTTATTACATAGACCTTATAGAAATTCTTAATATCCATTAGTACTACAGAAACCAAAAAGAATTTCTCGTGTTTAAAATGATGAATATTGTCTGTGCAGGTTCCTCAACCTCGTACCAATGAGTACTGGAGGAAACTGGTTTACGAAAACAAGATTGCTCCAAAAGGAGCCGCTAGGGAAAACTATTTTTCAGCTGAAGAAGGAATGAGCATGGTGCAGAAGTCTTATTTTGCGTTTCATACCGAAGCATCTACCGCGAATAATATCATCGAAGCATCTTATACGAAAGAAGAGAAATGTTCCGTGAGATATATCGATACTTTTGTCAAATGGGACACGGTACATTTGTTTTGTCGGAAGAATTCTACTTTGAGTGAATATTTTCTAATCGGGTAAGTATTACAATACCCTAGATCATTTATATACTTACGTGGATAGATCAACGCCATAATATTAGCATCATAAAGGATGTCTCCATCATCACGACGTACCTATACCTACTCTACGGCACTTGTTGCCCTTACCGAGGATCTTACTTTGCACAAGCGAGTTAAAACATATTTCCAATATAATCACAGATGTTGTGGGGTACACAATATAGTACTAATTTTGTACGAAATATTGGACAATTCATTTTGAAACATTTTATTTTTCTTAAGGCCTTTTTTTAACGCCATCTTCTTCATACTAAAGTCACCTATGCACGCCTCTCTATTTCTCTTTTTTTACATAAAATACGTACACCTAGAAAAGCTTCTGCGTGTTCTCTAAAACTTATAGCAGATGATAATTATTATTAGTACTAAAATTGTAAGAAATTTATTATGTACCTATCTATTTTCTAGGTTGCACAGATTGTTTGAAACTGGACTTCAAAATCGACAGAGCGTTCAAATATTATCGAAGTTGTCAAAATGCGGCGGAAACAGCAACATATTCGTCAGCGTAGGACTAAAAGAATGTTATTTTGCTTTTGCTGTGTTCGTAATAGGTCTTGGTATCAGTATTGTTCTTTTGATTCTGGAAATATTATCGCATTTGTATCTGGAAAGGAGAAATAATCTTATTAAAAAAATAATGGTTAAGCCATTTCTGAAAAGAAGAGAATCTGATTTTTAGATATTACATTGCAAATTGATGTTGCTTTTTTAGGAGTCTCTTTAGTGCTAATATGTTGTTCTTCTATGTTGTGCATATATGTTATATTTTTATGATTGTATATTATACGGAAGTGGGAAAATTGAACACCGCGACCATATACAGGGTGCTTCAAAAAACATGTGCCATCTCTCGTGGGGAGATCCCTCAAGTAAAAATAAGATTTATTTTTCATATCAACATAGGTCCAATTATGCTTTGTTTCGTACAGGGTATTAAAGTCTTAATAATTTTTCGATTTATCATAATTTTCTTCCAAGTACTTTTAGTGATTCGAAAGAAATTTTAAAGGTATTAAAATATGTCACATTTATAGTAACTTTTACCCACAAAATTTCATTTGAAACGCTAAAGGTAGATGGAAGAAAATTATAATAAATCGAAAAAATATTAAGACTTTAACACCCTGTAGTTACGAAACAAAGCAGACTCAGAGCTATGTTAATATGAAAAATAAATCTTATTTTTACGAGAGGTATCTCCCCTCGAGAGATGGCACATGTTTTTGAAACACCCTGTATATAGGCAAAAAGAACTAGAATATGAGGTAGGTCTCTTGTGTTATCTCTGTGACTTAAATATAATAATATAATAAAATATTTCTTAGCATTTTGCTTTGTTTTTTTTTAAGAACTATCTAGGTAGTTTTGACTCACTTCATATATTAGTTTAAAATATATACCATGCCGTAATTAGTTCTACCGAAGACACGGAATTGTACTATACAGGAAGAAGATACAGAACATTCATAAAATACTTTCACATAAAAAGCATTAACATTTTGCGATTTTACAATTTTTTGAGAATTTTAAAAGTGTAGAAAATTTAATGCAAAAATCATCATATTTTACAAACAATATTACGGTATTTTTGTAATGAGATTTTTTTAATGGGAATGGGCAAATCGATTGAGCAAAAAATATAAGGTACTGCATTCCAAATCACCCTGTTTATGTATAGACTGAAGTAAAAAATCTCAATCTCTGATCTCAAATCAAACTGGAAACTTGATATGGAACTTTTTTGGTAACGTAAATCACCCTGTATAGCAGCTAAGATCATGGTTTGTAATTTTCGCGAGCAAGTCTAGTTCAGATTAGCCCTTCCAACGAAAGGAAGACGTTCACTTAAAATGCCTCACTCTAAAATAATAACTTTTAAATGATATCATGGCAAGGCCTTCATCCAAGAACCTAATTCTAAAACCACAAAGGAACTGCTAATGCTCAGCAGGAATCATGTTTGGATTACAACAGATCTCTTAACAGGACATATACCTTAATAATTTCAACGTGTGTTAAGGAAGTCTTGCTGTAGACACTGTGATAAAGATCCTGAAACAGCAGAGCATAAAATGTTACTAAGAGGCTCTCAATCGCAAGCGTCACTTTCTATTTGGGAAAGCATGGCTTGAACCGGAGTAACTATGCTCCCATTACACCAAGGAGCTGCAAAAACTGGTGAAGGTTACAGGGATAGAGGACTGAGTGCAGACATAAAAAGGGGAGCCTTAAGGTAAGCGCGCATTTATTCGCATCGGACGGACGTATCGGACACAGGGAACGGACGAAAATTATTATTTGCCTTATTTTAAATGAGACAACGCACATACATACGTATCGGACGCATCGTAGACACGGAAATCCGTTCAGAATTATTAGAAAAGAATTAAATCCGTATATACGATGCGTACGGATGACGTCATTCGCAAATTCGAGGAAAATGCGCAATATAAACAGGAATCGACTATTTGTTTTTAACGTTATTTTGAGCAGGTAGCTAAAAGAGTGAAAATGGATGACGGACTATTAATTTCTTTAGTGCAACAATAAAATGAACTTTATAATTTGAAAAACAAAGAGTACAGTAATCAGCAAGGACCCCAAAATATATGGGAGGAAATTGGGCAGATAATGAAACAACCAGGTACGTAGACGCAATATAATAGAATAAATCTTTAACATATAGGTATATTTAAACAGCAGAAAAATCAGTTTAACATCTTTTTAAAAATACGGTTCATTATGGATGGGCACATTATGGACCCAAATTCGTTCTTTTTTTTCTTGTTCCTTTGCTCTTCCTCTTCAAATGCACATGCAATTGCAAGTCATAATTCTTCATCAGAAATACTACTCATTTTAAATTTGGGAAGCGAACGTGAAAAACAGAAGTTTCGTATTAGCCCGCTTCGAGGATTGCACTAAAATGAAAATGCGGGAAGAAAATCAGAATATAATATGCGATGATAAATATATTGCGATTCGTCCGATGCGTCCGTTGCGTCCGGTGCGAACAAATGCGCGCTTACCTTTAAGGTACGTGCACATTGACCAGAGCCGCACTCGCCGCACAGTGTGAAATTTTGACGTTCTAGGTGGAATTAATTCGATTTACCAACTGTAGCCCAGGTCCTAAGTTATTGTAAAATGTATTCAAGGAATGTCCATTCATCAATAAAAAAACATATGTTTATTTTTAAAATCAAACTTATCATTTAAAAATGCTCATTACTTTATCTTTCGGACAAAACGATAAAATCATCTAAAATATCTAGCCCATTTAGTCAAATTTTGCAGGCGTTTTAGTGAGAAATGTTTACTTTCACGGAATAACTACATTGATATTATTTTTATATTAGGCCTACGTGGTAAGCTATCATTTTTTAAAAATATTTCTGCTATATAGTTTGACTGAAAAGAAATGTTAAAGAAGTACCTGCAGTTACCTATGAAAAATTGTAATTTAGCTACTTTAAATATGTGTTACATAATACCACATAATACCACGATAACTTTGTCATTTCTTGAGAGCCCACTTATTATAGCATATGACATAAAAAAAATTAGCTGCGTTTAGGTGCGCTTTAGCTATACATATATATATATATATATATATATATATATATATATATATATATATATATATATATATATATATATATATATATATATATATATATATATATATATATATATATATATATATATATATATTTTAAATGGCTGCGCGCTTCACTCGTCAGGATGTATATGAGGTTTGTACTTCTAACACTCCAAAGAAGCGGCGAAGCGCTGTGGTGAATTAAGTTAGTTAACTAGAATCAAAGCGTTCCCAGTACAAATATTGGAACGCTTTGATTCTAGTAACCTTTCAAAAGCTGTCAAAGCAAATATAAGAGTTTCGGCCAGGACGTTTTGTCAGAAAATCGAGAACAAATAATGGAAAAAGGCAAATAGGCATAAACATATCTTCTTATCTAAGAATTCTAATCGGTTAAGGGAAGATTTTCGATTATCTGTATTAGCAAGAGTACCAAAATGAAAGAAAAACCTCTAAATACAGTTTCTTTGTGCGGTGCGGTTCGTTGAGAAATCAACAATTGATTATTTTATTTTCTTTGATTGTATGATTTTCTCCGATTTAGATAGTTTTTCCAAATCCGTTTGACCCACAAAAATTTTACAGTGTATTTTGCTTGTATATAGTACTTTCTTATTTGCCTTTTTTATAGATTATGTATTTTGGTTCGGCAACACCACATTTTGTAGAATTTTAGACACTCCGTATATTAAACTCCGTAGTTACTAACCTCAAAACTATTCTCTAACCATCAAAACTTTTTATTAAAAATAAAATTTTATGAATCACTGATAATATAGTAAAAAAGTTTCCCATATGTATCAAACATTATGAGAGCGCCTGTATATGCCCTACTACGATTATTTTGGTGCATGATCTACCTTTACCTTGATAAAATTTCTTATATAAAAACGAAAAAGACTGGTATTTCATTAAAAGAGTCGCTGAAATATTTTTTCCAGCTACACCACGGAAATTTCACACTGTGCGCCGCACGAATCGCACTTTTTTTTCTTGTCGCGCACACAGGGCCGTACCGAACGCGCCGCATTATTCGCTTTTTTGTTTCTTTCTGCGCCTACTACACCTGTATTTGCCAATCGAATTTCTCATCAGTCGCTTCCGGAGTCCTGTCTGCGGTGATAAGCGTGTTTTTTAATATTTCTCGACTATAAATGACAACGAACAAGAAATAATTATGAGCTCCTTGCTGAAGAAGAAGAAAGAAATCACGACAAAGAATCGAAAGTTATAGGTTCACAATATTGGCAAAAATCCACATTATTTCCATATTTAATTGAGGATGAACTAAAATGTTTTCAATATTTCAATATGAGCCATGAAAAATTTGCGAACTTTCTTAGCATATTGAATTTCTAATCTCCTCTTCGGCTACCTACGCTACGTAGAGTGGAAGGAATTGCGTGTGACGTCAGCAGCACTAGCCGCATTTACCGAAAATCATTCTGGCCCAACAATGCTGGCCGCATTTTCGTCGATGCGCATCTTCATTGAAGTGTGCGCATCTTCATTGAAAGTAACGTAAACAATATTTTTCTCTGGTCAGTGTGCGCGTACCTTTACAGGTCGTAGTGCTTCTGGCATAGGACGGCCGCTTAATAGCTAGGAAAAATTGTAATAAAAATGCTTCAGAGTTCTTGAATAACACGACACACAATTCTTGAATGACTTAGAAAAGGTGTCAAAATTTGAAGTATTGACATTAAGGTCATTATTAAAAGCGAGTAACACTCTTTCTCCAGATTTAAATGAAAAAACTCCTGAAGAGTCCCAACAAACTAGTTAGGTAGTCGTAAGTAAATTTCTACGAATTTTTTTAAAAATATTCTCGATTCACAGAAGAGTCCTGTCAAAATCTTCCAATATTTCGCATGAGACAAAATCAAACTCGCAATCAGAAGATTTGATGAACCACGAACAGAATCTGACCCTCGAAATCGAATCGTTAAAAAGCCAAATAGAGAACCTGAAAGAAGCGGTACGGTCTCTACATAGAGACACCGAAAAGAAAGAAATAGCTCTGGCTCGAATAGCAAGGGAGAAGGAAAAAGTTAGTTTGGACTTGTTAAGGCAGCGCAGATCGAATAATAACTTGTTGAAGCAGTTGGAGGATGAAAGAAAGTACTACTACCACGAAAAGGAGCAGTACTGTAACGAAATGAACGAGTACAAAAAGTTGAAGAGGGCGATGAGTACCGCTTCGACTCACAGCGAAGACGGTATGAGCTTAGAACAGTGTAAAAGAGAACTGGCCAAAGCGAAACAGACTTTGAATCATACTTTGGAAGCTAATTATAATTTGAGTATAAAGTTTTTGAGAATGAAAAACACTAAAACGTGTTTGAAAACGGAGTTGAAGACTATGAAGTTAGAGCATGAAAAGGTACTCTTAAAAATGTATGAACGCGGGTGCATCTTACAAATGGCTCACCCCCTACAACTTTTTTATTTTTTCAGATAAAAAAATGAGATTTGGTATTTTAGTATATGACATAAATTAGAATTGATTGACGTATTCAGTTGTTTTCGGTCACTTCCTGTTTCAACGGAAGTGACTACAACTTTTGATTTTTAAACGACACTGTCGGTATTTTTTTACTTTATTCCTTTGAATAAGAAAACTTTATTCGATAGAAAATGACACTCTGAATAGAATAATATATCATATGTCAACTTTTGGCATATTCGCATATGGTTTATTAGAAATTGTAACATGCGGTTAATAACAACAGTTTGACTCGAAATACCAAGTGTGTGGTACCAAATTATTCGTAAAAAATGCTTTTTCCTAACATGCTAATGCCACCTTCATTCCATTTGAAAAAATTGAGATATAATTAATACCCAATTCCTTCCAAAAATTCCAAAAATGTCAAATGTTGATATATAATATGTCATTCTATTCTGAGTGACATTTTCTATCGAATAAACTAAAAATATACCGAGGGTGCCATTTAAAAATCAAAAGTTGCAGTCATTTCGGGTGAATTTTGAATATTTGAAGTCGATCAATCCTAATTTTTCATATACTTACATACCAAATCTCGTTTTTTTTTTATTTGAAAAAAATAAAAAAGTTATAGGGGTGAGCCACTTTTGAGACGAACCCTGTATGTATCAAGATATTTAAAAATGATATGGTAACATTTCTTAAATTTCTTTACCGTTCCGAAGTTACGGGGTGTTTTTCAAAAATGTGCATTTTTAACAAATAACTGTAACTTTTCTGCTATGAAAAATTTCGTATTTTTATGAAAACATTTCCAAATCACCTTTTTACGTAGAATTTAATAGTTTAAGTATAATTTTTTAAATTAATAATTTAGGAGTTATTAACAGAAAAATTGATTTTTTATTTGGGACGCCTTGTATATATTTAATTCACTGAAATGAAAATATAATTAAGACTGTCTTAATCATCTGCTGATGATGCTAACATGATTGACGAAACGCGCGTCTAGTGTAAAAGTAAAAGTGTTTTGGTGTATTGTGGTGATTTAGTGTTTTATTTTGCTGTTGTAACACCAAAGGTTCCAACCTTCAACTGTAAGGGACCTAAAGCCTACTAGTTAAAAGTGGCTTTTAAAATTTTGTATTTCGAAGGGGACTCGAACAAAATATCAAGTGTGCTATATTTTTGAAAAGGTAATTTTAAGCTCTTTCAGTGAACTAAAAATATACAAGGTGTCCCAAATAAGAAATCAAATTTTCTGTTGAAAACTCTTAAATTATCAATTTAAAAACAAATATACTTAAATCATTAAATTCTACGTAAAAAGGTGATTTGGAAATGTTTACAAAATTTTCCATAGCAAAAAAGTTACAGCGATTTGTTAAAAATCGACATTTTTCAAAAACACCCCGTAGCACCGAAACGGTAACAGATATCGATATGCGGTTTTTACCATCATTGTTTTTGATAAAAATTGAGCTCCAGACACCGATCTTAGTTTTCGTCTAGCTCTTATAGAAAAGGGTGTTTACATTTAAAAGTGTCCAATATTTTGCACACCCTGTACATCAGAGAGAAATTATTTATTGTCTCCATCTTCATAGAATTTTCTTTTCTTAAAAACATATGAGGAAGAAGAACCACACACTATTTTTTTAAACTACTTAGAAAACACTCTGTATATTCGTTTCTTTTTCAAAAAATTTTGGAAGTATTCAGAATTTTTAAACTTTTAAAGTGGGAGTTTAATCAGCATCAAACTGCGCAACTCTACCTCCATTTACCCGACCTCGCTTCGTATATCTTCTAGTTTTCGGGTCCCAGTGATAAGGCTTAAATTTGGGACACTCTATACAGGGTGACCCTAAATTTGAGGGTGATCATTTTAAGATCTTGGAAGAGAGCCACCTCCTTTTTTTTCATCCATACAGTATAAAATGTTTCATAATTCTGTATCTACAAAAGTTTGTATTCTCCTCAATAAACATGCCTTATTTAATTATAAGTTAATAATATATTACCAAATAAAATTCTAACTATTTTAGTTAATAAATGATTATAAATCAAAAATGGAAAGTCTCTCCGAAGAACTAAACATGATAATTAATGAAAGAATAAGTACGCCGATATCTTGCAGCAGCAAAAAATATTTGCAAGTAAGAATTGTTCTTCATTTATTGTATAGGCTTGGTGCATTCTCTGCCGGTGCTGCCGCTATCGGAAAATATCGTAAACAACTGGTATATACAAATACACGGGTTTAAATAGCGAGTATACGAAAAATTTATTATATATTTATTCTGAAAGCGTCAGGAAGAATTTGTAAAAATTCTAAAAATAAAAATTAAAGTAAATATTTTGATGTATTCAGGTCTAACTTGTATTATAATTTATTATTTTAGCTAAAAAACTTTTTAGATGAGTTCAATCATGGTAGCGAGCATAGTTTTACGCACCTGTTTTGCTAGTGGGGTCATAATTGGGGCTATTTCGGCTATAAAAAAATTTTTTAAAGGTACATAAGTTATTGAATGTTATTGCACCCAACAACGCCCTAATTACGCTCTCCTTTACGCGTTAATATTTTTTCGGTAATTTTATTAACATTTGAAATTGTCACAACACAACACGACGCCTAGTTCGGATTCTTTTTCACTTATTGACTGCCCGAAATACTTTATACTCGGTACTTCTAATTTCTGCCGTTGGAGCGCTGCAGTCGGAATTTTTAAAATGAACTGAAATGCACCCAGCCTATAAATGCAATATTTTTGCTATCGATATTTATTTTTGTATTAATAAAAAACATGATTACTACTTTAAGTTGGTGAAGCAAAATAGCTGTATAGTATACGAAAACCTCTGTTTGCAACTGGAAATTGACAATTTACGTTTGAAATATGAAAAGGTCAAAATTGAGAAGAATAAAACTGAGAGTAACAGCAAATTAAAATATGCTAACAGTGAAACATCAAATTCGAAGAATTTTTATAAGTCCACTACAAGAAAACAGCAGAAAAAAGTTCGGATAAAAGATGAGGCACCTGAAAAACTAGAAAAAGATATATCGAGCATCCCATCGACCAGTAAGCAATCGACTGAACATACAAGTAAAAATATATTGAAGATTTATGAAAGAAATGAGCTGCCTGGGATTCCCAATATAGAAATACTGAACGAACGTGAGATATCTAAACCAAGAACTAGTTCAGAACAAATCTCTAGACAAATACCCACCGTTCAAGAGAGAAGTTGTAAAGAAAATAAGCACGATACTTTGATTAAAAACGTTTTAGATAATCCCGGTTCTAAATTGACACTTTTTCAAGTATCCAATACCGCATCTCAAACTTCAACGACCTATAGTGGTGGATTAACAAGAGTTAACTCTTCACCAGATATTTTATTACGGAGAAAATAATATTCTTTAATAGGTTTATATTATTTGTCTATGTTTTAAGTTTAAATAAAATGAATTATCCCTTTTTTAAACCCGAGTATTATAAAATTTCTTAAAGTTAGTTTTTAAATCACCCCTGTAAGTTTTGAATCGTATATATCTACCGTCATATATTAGTATATGATAGATTGAAAAACTGTTCTGAGGTAACAAAAACATTTGTCAATTTAGAGCCAAAAATATTTCTTTAAAAGAAGACAGGATTTTTTTGTGTCAGTAACCTTACTTTTTTTTTGTTTTGACGGCTGAAACAAAATATATACAGAAAAGAAAATGAATAATATAGAATTACCTGTTGAAAAAGAGCCCGAAGTTAAATCCACAGACGACACCAGTCTTTTAGTTATAATTCTAGACACTAATCCTGGCCAAAAATTACTCAGAGAAAACCCCAACATAATAACTCAAGTTGTAGATTCTGTTGTTGCTTTTGGAAACTCTCATTTAATGCAAAAAGCTCAAAACAAACTGGCGATATTGACCTGCCACTCGAAAACGAGGTTTGCATCTCAAATACTTTGTACATAACTTTATAAAACTTATTGTATTTTGATAGTCAGTTTATATATCCTGGACCTAAAAAGTTGTTAGATGTTAGGCAAATAGACGGTCAATATGAAGCATTTACTTTGGTAGAGAAAACAGTAAAACAAAATATAACCAGTATTTTAAGTATGGAGAATTCTGGAATTGTAACAGAGTCCTTGTTAGCTGGAGCTGTAGCAATGGCTTTATGTTATATCGCAAGAATACAGAGAACTAAAGCTAACGGTGTCAAGGTACAATGAAGAACTCATTAAAATTGTTTCAAATATTAAGTAGATATTTTCCTTTTCAGTTAAATTGTCGAATATTAGTTGTTACAGGGAGTAGCGATTCAGCTTCACAATACATGAATTACATGAACGTGTTTTTCACATCACAGAAACAAAATATCGTGATAGATGTTTGTGCTTTAGATCAACACTTAAGTTTATTACAGCAAGGTTGTGATATTACAGGAGGATTGTATTTGAAAGTACCTCAAGTTAGTGCATTATTGCAATATTTATTGGTAAATTATATAAAGTAAGTTTAGAAGTATATTTAACTAATCAAATTTAATATTTTAGTGGGTGTTTCTTCCTGAACCTCCTATAAGGGAGAAACTTATTTTGCCACCACCTGTAAAGGTTGATTACAGGGCAGCTTGTTTTTGTCATAGGGAGTTAATTGATATTGGATATGTTTGTTCCGTATGTCTTTCAAGTAAGTATCTCTACAATTAAAAATTAGAGATTTTGTTGTATAAGCTAAGATTGATGTAATGTTCAAATATCAACAAATTTGTTAATCTATACAAAATAAGGAATATTTTGTATTTACTATGACAAAGACAAAGTTTTATATTTTTTTTATGGTTTTATTGAAGTACTTACATATCTTAAAGAAAATGATTTCTTTATCAGAGATAAACTTGCATTTTTGCAATATGATATCAGATAATTTTGGTGTTATTTTGATTTTTCACTTGTAATATACTTTTAAATACCTATTATTATTTATCAAAAGTAATATAATAGTTTTTTTTAAATATTTGTATATTTTTAGTATTTTGCAAATTCAGTCCTATCTGCACAACATGTCAGTAAGTATTTATTTATTAGAAAATATTAATATACCTAGTATTATACTAATAAATATTTAATTTTTAGTACTGTTTTTAAAATTCCTGGTCCACTTGCTGTTAAACCAAAGAAGAAGAAAATAAAAATGTAAAAAAGGACAGTGAATTTGGATTTTTTATACTACAAATTAGAATTAGAATAAGTATATTTTATTTATTATAAGTAAAAAATAAAATTCTCTCAATTATCAACCTTGTTTTAATTCATAAATCTCCTTATTCCCTCGCATGTGTTTGCCGCCTATTCTATTTTTAACCCTTTGTTTATCGACGTAACATAATACATTGCGGGAGAGATACGCAAGGGGCCATAAGGTGTTCATACTTAACAACTGCAAAGTGCTTTGCAGGAGATGCAACACCTAATTGTTTCAGGTGCACTTAATGTTCGGTCCGTATTTTCCATAAAAGTTGAATTTTTCGCGTATCCCGCGGACTTGTCACGTGCCGAGTGACGTAAACGTTAAGTCAGCTGTCGAAAAAAAATTAAAAATGCCAAAAAATTCGTGTTGTAAGTTTTGTATTGAGAAAATCCTGTGGTAGTTCCGTTCAGTATTAGGATTCAATCTAAAACGGCGGTATTACTGAATCACCAGTTGTTAATTGCTCATTGTGTTACAAACTGTTATGTTATGGGAATGTTTTCACACTGAAAAAATCTCTAGGTGGGTACGTGATCTCTTGCAGAGAAACTTGATTATTTAATACCCAGGACTTTTTATTTACGTACTTTATTAGTGTTATTGAACGTAATTACTGTTATTAGTTGCCACACTTTCTTTTTTCTCGATTCAAAACCAAAATAATGACTTAACCTATATATTTCATTATTTTCAAACTATTTGTTATTATTCTCACAAAGTACGTACATTACAAAAAGTATAGATGCTTACAGGTGAAACTTATTTTCAATACTAATTTTATTAAATATTTTAGAACATTAGGCTAATATGGTTGTAAAATCCCATTTGAAACGTACAGTACGCATTTTACTAGTGGGTGATAGGGGCGTAGGTAAAACCTCCTTAATTCTCTCTTTGGTAAGCGAAGAGTTTCCCGAAAATGTCCCATCTAAAGCAGAGGAAATTACCATACCGGCCGATGTCACTCCAGAACAGGTGCCTACAAACATTGTGGACTTTTCATCGGCCGAACAAAGTGACACTGATCTTAACGACCAAATTAGAAGGGCTAGTGTAGTGTGTGTAGTTTATGGCGTAGATGACGATGATTCAATTGAAAGGTAAGTTCTAAAATTTGTAATATTCTATTTTTAAAAAGACACGTTATATTACAAATGTTTCATCTCAATTATTGCTATAATATTTCTAGAATATCCTCATACTGGATGCCTCTTATCAGGCAAAATTATCCAGATGGTCAGTGCCCAGTTGTTTTGGTTGGAAATAAAATTGACCTGGTTGAATATTCAACTATTGATGTAGGTTTAGAGGCTCTTTTAAATAATTTGCAATACTTTAAACTGGTGTTTTCTTTAGGGCATTTATGAAATAATGGAAGAGTTCTCTGAAATTGAAACATGCATAGAGTGTTCAGCTAAAACATTAAAAAACATATCTGAAATGTTCTACTATGCCCAAAAAGCAGTTCTTCATCCGACGTCTCCCATATATTCTGTTGAAAAGGCTGATGTAAGTTATTTAAATAAAAAGATGATTTGAGAAAACAAATTAAAAATTATTTTAGTTGACAGATGCGTGTAAAAAGGCTTTAATAAGAATATTCAAAATATGTGACATAGATTGTGACGGTCTCTTGAATGATATAGAATTAAACAATTTCCAATCGAGGTGTTTTAATGCACCGCTTCAGCCCCAAGTTTTGGACGATGTAAAGGCAGTCCTGCGAAAGAATCTGGAAGATGGAGTGTCACAGAACAGTGTGACTTTAAAAGGGTTTTTATATTTGCACACGTTATTCATACAGCGGGGTAGAAATGAGACTACGTGGACTGTTTTAAGAAAATTTGGCTACAATGACAATCTAAATATGTCCAAAGAGTATTTATATCCACAGTGAGTAAATTTTAATTATTTGAGTAATTGTGTATACCTAAAGATAAAAATAATAGATAACAAAAATGATTGATGATTTTTTTTATATGAGGATTAATAAAATTCTCTTAATTTAGGTTTTAATGAGAATATTAACTTTTTTTTTATATGTTAAAAACCAAGTGAGACAATATTTTACCAAAAAAAGTTTTTGATAATATGGTGTCCCCAAATAATTCTTTTTACATTGTCTTTTTTATGTAAGTAATTATTTTAATATTAGATATTTAAAATTTTTAAATTAAGACTAGGAAGTTAAAATAGCTTTTTTATTTTCAAATAATTTTTAGCTATTTCTACTTTTAATCAAAAGAATTTAAAAATTAAATGTTGGGATTCAGATATTTTTAAAATAACTTGTATGTATTTAAAGGCATATTAAAACTATTCATAGATATACAGGGAGATTCTAATATACCGGGTGCGTCTATAAATTGGCTCACCCCTATAACTTTTTATTATTTCAGATAAAAAAACGGGATTTGGTATGTTAGTATATGACATAAATTGGGATGGATTGACGTATTCAGTTGTTTTTTACCGCTTCCTGTTATACCGGAAAAGACTACAACTTTTGATTTTTAAATGACAAATTCGGTATTTTTTTACTTTATTCCATAGAAGATAACACTCTGAATAGAATGACATATTATATGTCAACTTTGGACATTTTTGTATATGGTTTATTTGAAATCTTAACATGCGGTTCATAACGACAATTTGACTCTTCAAATATGCTAATGAGCCACCCTTGTTTCGTTTGAAAAAAAATAGATATGGTTAAAAATACGATTTGGGCATCTTTTAACTCGCCAGGACAAGACACAAAAAACATTAGATGATCAAATCTATTTTTCAAATGCTCCTTGATTAAAAATGAGTCTTTTTAACTCAGCCATGGGTACTCTAAAACGGGTACGGAAAACTACCGCACTATTATTTCCCCGGACATTACTATGGAGAGAAACCAAAGCAACACGGCCCCTAGTCCCGGGCAGCCCTTAAGTGGGCAGGGGGTGCGAAGAATCTCCCGGCTCAACATGGTAAAGTCAGAACTCCGTATTGCCACATGGAATGTGAGGAGCCTCTACGTTGCTGGACGGTTTGACAATGTCATTAAGGAGGCTCAGAGATTACGAATTGACATACTTGGAGTTAGTGAGGTACGCTGGCCAAACTCAGGAAAATGCCAGAACGAACATGGCACCCTCTACTACTCTGGAAGTGACCCACAGGACCGCTATCACCGAAATGGGGTGGGCATATTTGTTTCGAAGGCCTACGATAGCTGTGTTATAAGTTATACACCAATCTCTGACAGAATGATGCTGCTTCAGCTGTGCGGTCAACCGTTTAAACTGAATGTGATACAGATATATGCACCGACAGCAGATAGACGATACGATGATGACGTCGAACAACTATACGACATGCTCGAGAAAACCCTTGGAGGGCTTGGTGGTGATGATATTAATCTGATAATCGGTGATTTTAATGCTAAAATTGGTCAGGGGCACCGACTGGATCTAGTGGGGAGATTTGGACTGGGAGAAGGTAACTACAGGGGAGATAGACTGTTTGAGTTTTGTCAAGAGAAAGACATGGTCATTACGAACACTTGGTTTAAACTTCCTAAAAGGCGTCTTTACACATGGATATCACCCGCTGAAAGTGACACTCAAGAACCTGTAAGAAACCAAATCGATTATATTCTCATCAATAAACGCTTTAGAAACTGTATAAAAAGTGTCACAACCTACCCAGGATCTGACGCGGAATCCGATCATGTCCCGTTGGTGGCGAACCTCAAGTTAAAGTTAAAGGTTACTAAAAGTAATCCAAAAGACAACCTGTTAGATATGTCAAAATTAGAGGATCCACGAGTAAGAGAGCACTTGCGACAAGAACTCAACAGCGAATTGGCCAAAGTGGCACACAAAAATTGCCCACAAGTGCAACCCCTTTGGGAGGAGCTAAAGTGTATTCTTACCGGGGTATGTTCCAAAAACTTACAACCAGCCAAAAGACTCAAGAAGAGCAGGTGGATGACTGATGACATATTGAACCTGATGGAGAGACGAAGATTGGTTAAGAATAACAAGGAGGAATATAACCAAATGAACAGGACCATAAAAGCAGAAATTAAGAAGGCAAAAGAACGCTGGATGAGGGATAAATGCAGAGAAATGGAAGATCTTGAAAGCAGACACAACACCCACCAAATGCACAAAAAAATTAAAGAGATAGCTGGAATCAACAGGAAACAACATTCCTTGTCACTTTTTGATGGATTAGATCAGCCTATCATTAAGGAAGATGAAGTAAAAGCCACCTGGGAGCAATATATAGATGATCTTTTCAGGGACGAGAGACCACCCCTGCCCGACGCCCAGGATATTGTTGACGGACCAGAAATACTCCAGGCGGAGGTGATCCATGCTATTTCAACGGCGCAGACCAGAAGGGCTCCTGGTCCCGACGGGATTCCAATAGAGGTCTTAAAGCTTATTGAGGGGAACAACATAGGACTAATCACAAACTTATTTAACACAATATATAACACCGGAGTGATACCAAAAGACTGGCTAAACTCAACATTTGTGACAATCCCTAAAAAAACTCGTCCTAAAAAATGCGGCGACTATCGACTAATTAGCCTCATGAGCCACCTACTGAAGACCTTTCTACGTATTATTCATGCCAGGATACGACGGAAGTGCGAATTCGATATGGACGACGCCCAGATGGGATTCAGAAATGCGTTTGGAACACGAGAGGCCCTTTTTGGAGCCAATGTCCTACTTCAAAAATGTCGCGACCAACGGAAAGATGTCTTCGCATGCTTTATTGATTATGAAAAAGCCTTCGACAGGGTGCGCCACTCAAAGCTAATGGAAATACTGCGACAAATCCAACTAGACAGCAAAGATATCAGATTGATTGAAAACCTCTATTGGGGTCAAACAGCTGAGGTTCGTACTGGATCAATAAAAACTTCTAGCTTAGAAATCCAGAGAGGAGTTCGCCAGGGTTGTGTCCTCTCGCCCCTCTTATTCAACCTATATTCGGATAAAATATTTAAAGAGGCCTTGGAGGGCACCGAACATGGAATAAAAGTTAACGGTGTTCTCTTGAATACAATTAGATATGCAGATGACACTCTGATTATCTGCGATAGTATGGAGGGGCTCCAACATCTGATTGATAAAATAAGCTCAACTGGAGTAGATCTGGGACTAAACATAAACACCAGCAAGACGAAATTTATGGTGTTCAGCAGAGAACGACATGTAAATGCACAACTCAGCCTCAACGGTTCCGCGATTGAACGAGTAAATCAGTTTAAGTATCTGGGCAGCATAATCACGGAGAGCCTGGAACCCGACATTGAAATCAAATCCCGTATTGAAATAGCAAGAACAACGTTTAAAAGGATGAGATCCCTATTCTGCAACAAAGACCTAAATCTCAAACTGCGACAACGTATGGTCAGGTGTTACGTTTGGTCCGTCCTTCTCTATGGAGTTGAGAGCTGGACTTTGAAAGCTGTCATGCTTAATAGACTGGAGGCATTGGAGATGTGGATTCATCGAAGAATGCTGCGAGTCTCCTGGACCGATATGCTGACCAACGAAGAAGTCCTTCGGCGAGCAAGAACAGAACGACAGCTGCTAACAACGATAAAATGTCGCAAGATTTCCTACCTAGGACATGTGTTGCGGGGAGAAAAGTATCACTCTTACAACTTATTCTAAAAAGGAAAAATAGAGGGCAAACGAGGAGTCGGCAGAAGGCAGATGTCATGGCTGAGGAATATCAGACAGTGGACGGGAGTGTCTGGGGCTGGTGAGCTTTTCAGACTGGCAGAAGATAGAGTTGCGCTCTCTGCAGTGATCGCCAACGTTCGGAGAACCGGGCAGGGCACATAAAGAAGAGAAGATGGGTACTCTAGATTGAAATTTAAAATACGATTTTTTTAAGCGAAAATGTCAAAAGCTGACATATGATATGTTATTATATTCAGAGAGTGTTATTTTCTATCGAATATAGTAAAAATATACCGAAGGTGCCATTTAAAATCAAAACTTGTCATCATTTCCGGTGAAACAGGAAGTGACCAAAAACAATTGAATACGTCAATCAATCCTAATTTAGGTCAAATACTAACAAATGTCGTTTTTTTATCTGAAAAAATAAAAGTTATAGGGATGAGCCACTTTTGAGACGCACCCGGTATATAATTTTGAAGTACTGTACAATATGTCTTCTACAATTCTATTACCAAGATTTTAATAAAACGACATCTTTTCATTTTTAAATCGTATTTTTCATAGCATTAAAGTGCCATCAGGCTGCACCACAGAACTGTCCCATAAAGGTCAGCAGTTTCTTACGCATCTTTTCGAGAGGTTTGACAAAGATAGGGACAAGGCCTTGTCACCAGCAGAATATGAAGAATTGTTTTCGACGTGTCCTTCGCCGGCCTGGGCCCTAGATGTCAGTGCCATGGTTCAAACTAACGAGAAAGGTGAGTAGAAAGCATACGCTATAAAATTAGTGCAATCAAAATCCATCATCATTACTTAATAACTTAAGTAATTATTTTTATCTACAACCGTTTAGTTATAACGTTTTTACATCACTATTCTTTTAGTATTTCAGTTGCCTTATGAGATTCATAACACAACTAGTGGTGTTATGAATCTATAACACAACTAGTTTTTATAATAATGAAAAACAACTACGAACATCTAAATATATTAATTTTTGATACAAATTCCTACTACTAATTATTATAAATATTAATAACACATTTTTTACACTTCTTCAAAACAATTTTTTTTTCAAAAAAATGATTTTTCACCTTTTTGTCATCACACCGTGTCAAAAACTGGTTGTATGTTTTTTCATATTTTGATCGCGACTTTTCCGGCAATAATGATTCCGTGGCACGTACTGCGGCAACTTCTACATCTGAAGGGAGACTTTCGGAATCGCTGATCGTAATTTTTAAAATGATTTTTCTGGGCAAAAAGTGCTCGCGTTTACTTGACAGGGCAAACTGACTTTTCAGAAAAAAAACTCTCTACTTGATATACAACGTTTGTAACTATAGTCTGAAGCAGGTAACAATTCCCCACAATTATAATTAAAAAATGTGACAAATGTCATAGTTAAAGGTGTTAAAGGTGGGCGACTATCTATCTATCTATCTATTCAGCCTCTTCGGTCCATCGTTGGTCATAGGCCTCCCCCAATCTCTTCCACTCTTCCCTCTCTGTCGCCGTGCTCATCCATCTTGTGCCTGCATGTTTCCTCAAATCGTCCACCCATCTCATCTGAGGTCTTCTTCTACTTCTTCTATTCTTCCAGGACCTCCAATTTACGATGCATTTGTTCCATCGATCATCCTTCTGTCTGACATAGTGACCGGCAAACTTCCATTTCAATTTTGCTACTTCACTTCTAACATCCCTTACTTTAGTTTTTCCTCTGATCCACTCATTCCTTTTTCTATCTGCCAGCCTTACATATAGCATTGGTCTTTCCATAGATCTTTGAGATTTTGTTACCTTATCCATATTTGATTTTGTCAGTGTCCAGGTCTGGGATCCGTAAGTTAAGTGGGTGGGCGACTAAGAAACGAAAATAAAAACAGCATTTTCTTATTTTTCGGTTGTAGATAAAACGTTGTACATGACACGTGCGTTTAAACATGATTACAACACTCGTGTGATTAGAACTTTCACTCTCGTTGTAATCATGTTCATAAACACATCTGTACTGTAAATAACTATTTTATTAGTTATTTGATTTAAGGTCCGGATTAATTATTAACACTATTCTATATTATTAAATTACTGTATGATCGAAAAAAAAATCAGTTTAAAAGTTGGCTTGAAAATTATGATTAATGACATACCATAGATTTACTTCATTTCCAAGTCAACTCTGATGACTTTTTTTCGATCTTAGATGTTTTTCAGTAAACTGGAGTATTCCGTTTATATCTTTCTGTACAGGGTGTTTTAAAAAACGTGTCATCTCTCGTGGGGATATTCCTCATGTAAAAATAAGGTTTATTTCTTATATCAACATAGGTCAGATTTTTCTTTGTTTCATAGCTACAGGGGGTTAAAGTCTTGTTTTTTATTTTCAATTTGATGTAAGGGGCCATCCATAAATTACGTCACACGAATTTTAGGACTTTTGTATTTTGTACCCCTCCCCCCGTCCTTGTCACAGGTTGTCACATTTTTAGAACTCCCTCCCTTCTTATGTGACGTCACACATTTTTCAAATTTATGCATGTAATAAGTGAGAGTTTATTAGTAAATTAGTAGAATTATTAATAAATATAGATCAAAGTCGAAAATGTTTAAAGCTTTTTTTACGTATATAAATTTCGTGCTTTACTATTTTAAATTTTAACAAGTTACGTCACAAAACTTTGACCCCCCTTGCCCCTTGTCACACTATGTCACATTACGATGATCCCCCCCTCCCCGTTAACGTGTGACGTAATTTATGGATGACCCCTAATTTCCTTCTAGAAGAAAATTATAATAAATAAAAAAATTAATTCTCTCTTTAACCCCCTGTAGTTACGTTAACTTTACGTAGTTACGTTACTACAGTTGATATAAAAAATAAATTTGTATGTGAGGAATCTCCCAATGAGAAATGACACGTTTTATGAAACCCTATATATGGAGAAAAAATATTTGTGGAGCATTTATAGGAATTTAGTTTTTATATAATCATAAAATTCATGATGGAAATAATTGAGTTGTATATAGGATAACAATATGACATAGTTGATTGGCACCTTTATTTGCATTACAATATCTTTGGTGCGACAAATATTAATAACTAGTGACTCATTCATTAATCTATCATAAATGTTTGTTATCATTCTTGATCGATGTTATCGTAGAGTAAATAACGATAACATCATGAAGGAAATCCAAATAAATATGCCTACTCAGTATACAGGGTGTTATGTAAGTACGTAGGCAAAGTGCAGAGGGTGATTCTTTGAGCGAAGCAAAAAAAAACGTAAAACTTTTAAAATTTTTTTTTTCGCAAATATCTTCATAATATTATAATAGTTGAGTTTCTTAATATTTAACAATGATATTTACTGTTGAGAGGCTTATTTAATGCTATACAGTGGTGTCCCGGAAGGCACCCTAACCTTAACCAGTATTTTTGACGAAAAATTGTACACCTCGTTTAATTTTTGGTATTTTTTCCCAATTAAGCAACTAAAAATACAATTTTTTTGGTTTCGCGATGTCTGATTCACTTTATTGCATATTCTCAGGAATTTAGACATAATAAAAACTGGCCTGGGCCCTAGATGCCAGTGCCATGGTTCATGACTTTATGAGTCTTATTCTATAAAACACATTATATCCCCAGGACATTAAATATAAAAAAATAAAACTACTGAAAACCAAATAAAACAATACCGTCAACTCTTGATTTGGTTTGGTTTGTTAAGTTTATTTGTTTATTTTTTTCTTAGTTTTTGTTTGTTTTGTTAGCATTATTTTTTTACATTACTGTCTAAAGATGGGTATTCACTTGCAACAAAATACTCCGAACGAACCAAACGCGCCGCGCACTCCAAACGATTTTCAACAAAACATTTTGCGAGGAGCGTTCCGCCTGTTTGCGGTGTTCGCTGCGTTCCCACCAGTAATCAGTGTTAGTGTGTTTGTCGACATGGATGCATCTGATATTACTATAGCCGCTGGTGCTTTTTTAATTATAGAGGTATTAGCTTTCTATCTTCTAAAACTCGATAGGAGACTTTCCATTTTTTTTTCACGTCCGTTGCGGTGCACCCTATATTATTAGCAATTACCACCCAAGCATCATGCTTCTTTACTTTGTTATAATATGTCCCATTTGTCGGATCCCATAAAATAGGCTGCCTTTCAAACTCTTCAATTAACTCTAAACACTTTTCTCTGTTCCACTCCATAGCTAGGCACAGTTTAAAATTTTAAAAATACTACAAACACAACGAACGTTCAAAACTGCCCTTTCCACTGAAATCGGCCAACGAACAAATTCTTTTGAGCAAATTCCGTCTACCGACAAGCTTTGGAAAATGTTTGGCGCGTTCGGTTCGGTTCGGCGCAACGTACTGACTACACAAACTTGTTACAGCGCGCGCGGCGCGTTTGGTTCGTTTGGAGTGTTTTGTTGCAAGTGAATACGCACCTTTAGATGATAATAGACTATCAAATTTAAAAAACAGCCAGTTTTTATTGGGTTGGTAGTTTTAATGGTTTATTTGCTCCAGAGACAGTTTTTTTTACTTGGAAAACAACGAAATACGAAAAAAAATCAAAGACAAAAAAGTTTTTTACTTAATCAGCAAAAAAATATAAAAATTAAAGAAAAAGCCATTGACGCAGAATTTTTGTAAAAAATATTGGTTAGGATGTCTTACACTGGACATAATTATTTTAATTAAAACTTAGACGCCTTTGATATTGAAGATATGTCTATATAAACTTTTTGTATTAGAATAACTCAATTGCCCCGAAATTCGATTATGTACTTATAGGAAATAAAAACTCAAAGGCTTCTGTAACGCTGTTTTTTAGGCGCGCGATTCATACAGTATTTTAATTCGCTATATTAACATATATTTTTAGGTTGGATAACCTATCCGGGATATATGTGCCAATGGGCTCTCATGACTCTTGTTGATTTGCCAAGAACGTTTGAATACCTGGCTTATATGGGATATAATATTTATGAAAATGAAAGTCAAGTTTCGGCTGTGACAGGTAATAGTTGCATAATCAGTAAATATTTCTATGGAAATATCAAATATAATATATTACGATGCACTGAGAATATTACATTGTTGTTATGATGTGTTAAAATATTTTTAGTTACAAGAGAAAAAAAATTAGATTTAGCAAAGAAACAATCAAGTAGGAACGTATATCAGTGCCATGTCATTGGTCCTACAGGATCAGGGAAATCAGCATTTTGTAGGAGCTTTATTAAAAATCCTAAAGATGTAAGTAAATATGCGTATAAGTGCAACTAAGATAGCTGCTAATTTTACACCTGCGTGAGCACAATATCTTACAGTACCTACCTTTATAGGTCTGAAAGTTGGTGTCTTTGGTGTCGATTCCTATCTTCCTGCACTGTCAGTTTTTTTACGTGATCTACTGGCCGAGTTGAAGTTGGCGCTAAAGATTTTAGACAGTGACAGTTATTTTTGCATTTGACGGACGAGCGCACAGTGCGTTGGAGGATTAATTTAGCGGGACAAAAGCGTTTGGTTAGAAATAAGCCAAAAAATGTGTACTGATAAGAATAAATATAGTAGACATTCCAATTGATACAAAAATGCATGAATATTCTTTGTATTTCGATACATTTTTATCAACCAAATTTGGTCGTTTTCTGCTCAGCAAGGCAGAGATCATACGAAAACAAAATATTTACAAGTGCTTATACATTTTATTAGAAAGCCAAATTATGTTGAAGATTGCCAAAGGTATGTACTTTTCTTATGTACGTATATTATTTGTTAAAATCCTTCGTGCCTTTGTTCTGCAGATATCAAACTTTTTTTTCAAATATCGATATATGTATTCAATGATGTAGATCTTTTGAATTACCAATAGTTACCAACACAAGTAGTCACAGTCACAGGGAGTTCAAGCTTAACAAGTGAATGCCCATAAAGATTCATTTCAATCGGATAGTATAAAAACAAAACAACTCCATCAAAAGGCACTGAGTTTAAAAAATTGTCTTAGATACTTACTATATATGAATTTACAATTACCGAGTGTTAAAATTAAAATTAAAATATCTATCTTATTTATTATTTTCAAAATAAAATATATTTTTTTAAAATAAATTATAGAGGGTGTCACAAGATTACAAATTAATTAAAAAAAAACTGCTAAAGAGTTTTTTGATATCATAATTTTATGTATTTGGCAATAGTTTACAATACGGCTTTTGTGTGTCATGTACGAATAATATCATAGTTTTATTATCTTGTATTTATTTATTAATAAATTAAGTTGTTAATAAATAAATAAATTTAACCATATAGTTGCTATATATTAGACCATTTGCTACGTTCTTAGATTTTAAGTCCCAAACATTGCTCTTGAGATTTTGTCCCGCTAGAATAACCATCCGCCGCACTGTGGAGCGCTGGTCAGCGCGTGACGTAGCATTCCACGGCGACTACGACAGTCCTTTAAAATATAGACAGTCCTTGGGTTTTAGTATCGTGCGTATTGTTAGTGTAGAACACAAAAAATAGAACTAAAAATAGCAGCTATCTTTGTTGCAAGTTTTATTGGCTTTCTGGCCATTTTAGAATATCTCTGCAAAAAATTTTAGATTTAGAATTTTGGTCATTTTAGAATATCTCTGCAAATACTTATACAGGGTCCGGCAATAGTGCGTCGGGCATCTGTAGCTCCTAGAATAAAAAACCTGGGAATTTTGGTTAAGTGTAAACCTAAAGTATGAACAAGGATGTATTTCAGGAAAATATTTTAACTTCTATATGGTGGCTCAAAAAGTGTGAGTGGATCGGGATGATTTTTTTTTAAATGGAACACCCTGTATATTATTGCATTTTTGGCTTCCTTTCAGATCACTTTACATGATCCTAAAATATGAATAAATATATTTCGATAGTTTCAGAGATATTAATAAATAAATAAAAAATTTATATTTTTCAATCATTATTAAAAAAAATTATTACAAATACAAGAACTGTCCTGAAATCAAAACTATATTAGGTATTTACTTTAGATGGTCTATACTTAAGTTTGCTATAAATATCGTAATCTTAAATCATACAGGGTGTTCAAAATTCTACGCCAAACTTCCTAAAATATAAAATAATTTTTCTTTGTTTTTTTAAATGGAACACACTGTATATTATTTTTCTATTAGACGGAGAATTAAAAAACGAACATTTTTTGTATTTAAAGTATTTCAACATTTTTAATGGTTTCGCAGATACAGGCAGTATTATTTCATATGGCTCTCTCAACGGTAAAATACGAGAGAAAAATAATTAGGTGGCTTTGATAAAAATTTACTATGGAAAATGCCACATGAAATATAAAACCGCGAATATCTGCGAAACCGTTAAAAATTTTGAAATACTCTAAATACAAAAAATGTTCATTTTTTAACTCTCCATCTATTGAAAAAATAATATATAGGGTGTTCCGTTTAAAAAAACGAAAAAAAGTTATTTTATATTTTAGAAAGTTTGGCGTAGAGTTTTGAACATCCTGTATGGTTTACAATTACCACATTTATAGCAAGGTAAATACATACCATCTAAAGTAAATACCTAATATAGTTTTGACTTCAGGACAGTTCTTGTATTTTTAATAATTTTTTTAAGAAAGGCTGAAAAATATATATTTTTTATTTATTTATTAATATCTCTGAAACTATCGAAATATATTTACTCATATCTTAAGATTATGTAAAGTTGTCTGAAAAGAAGCCAGCAATGCAATAATATACAGGGTGTTCCATTTAAAAAAAATCATCCCGATCCGCTTACACTTTTTTGAGCCACCCTATAGAAGTTAAAATATTTTCCTGAAATATATCCTTGTACATACTTTACATTTTCACTTGAACAAAATTCTTAAGATTTTTATTCTAGGAGCTACACATGCCCGACGCATTATTGCCGGACCCTGTATTGCATATATTTATACGCATTTCTCTCAATTAGACAAAAAGTGTACTGTTAGATCAATCCAGTTCACCCACTTGCACTGTAAACACCGTACAAGTATACGGACAAGAAAAAATTATGGTATTGAGGGATATCAATGTCAGGAACGTTTCTGACCCTTTACTACCTCACGAGGTCCAGTGTGACGTAGCTTGCCTGGTCTACGACATAAACAATCCAAAGAGCTTCGAATATTTAGCGAGGATTTACATTGTAAGTATAGTTTTTCCGAAGTCAATTGGAATAGATTGGGATTCTTAATTTCGGCACTGTCTTTGGCAGCATCGTCTCCACCAATGACTAAAGAATATAAGGACATCGCCCATATACGGGCTGCAGCAGAATTTGTGACATTAGACGCCATTTTTTTGATGGCGACGAATGAGTCATCAGCGACAATTTTAGCGATTTTTAATAGTTTGTGTATAGTGAACTTTGTATAAACTTTATTACAATGGCGATTAGTTGTTCAGCTTTCAAGTGTAAAAGCCACAGCGATAAGAAAGAGCCAGGAGTTACGTTTCATAGGTAAATAAACAGTCCGCTCCACCTTTTTATCGTTTTCTTAGTTTTCTTATTGAATTCGATAATTTTATTTTTCTGATTATTATATGTACTTGATGTGTGCTATACGTCGACACTTGTTAACATTTTAATACGTTTTTTCGTAATTAATTAGTATGATACTACCGTATACACCATAGGCGTAGTCAAAACAATTATCAAAAATATAAATATCTCTTTAAACAGCTAAGTTAAGAAAAATATGTGCCACGATACTGTTTGGTGACATCGTAACAATTTGCTCTCGAGTGTTATTTGTCCTTGAATTCTTTAGTCGTTTGTCTCCACAAACGAATTAAGAGTCCCACTACTTCGGAAATATTATAGTTTCGAAGTTTTAGTAGAGTCTTATTGATACAGTGAACGTTTCAGAAATATTTCGCCGACAGTAAAATTCCGGTTTTAATTGTCGCTTGTAAAGACGATTTAGAAGAAGTGAAGCAAGATTACTTGCTGCAGCCTGCCAGTTTTTCGGAGAAATACAAAATACTGCCGCCCCAAAGGTTTAGTGTGAAGGGACATTTTAGGAAGGACATTTTCATAAAACTGGCAACGATGGCAGCGTTCCCGTAAGTATTTTTTAATTCATAATATTAAATTGATGAGTATAATTATTGTGCAGGGTGGATCAATGTATAATAAGTACTTTTGTATTGTATTATTATATAAAAGTGACTTTTCTGTTTGTTTAGAAATCTAGAAAATTATTGTATTTTTTTCTTCTTGCGTTCTGTAAACAATGCCGTTTTTGTCGTTAAAAGCAGTGTTTATTGTGATGGCCAAGTTTATTATACATTGTTCTACTTTGTGCATAGATTTGACGATATTTATATTAATGACTTCCAATTTATTAGTCGTTTTCAAGCGGCTTGGATTTTATTCTACAAAAGAAGGTTTGTTCATGTTCACTGAATTTTTATTGATTATATTACAAAAATGTGAGAAATGTATCTTAAGCACCTCAGAATATACTCTGATTATGTTTAAACCTTCACTACATCACCCTTACAATATACAGGGTGTTCAAAAAAGGGACGGCAATTTTCCCTTGTTAAAAAATATGGAAAAAGTTCCTATAAACATGGATCTAAAAATGCATAAAATAAAGATAGTTGTTTGCGTAAACCTGCGAACACTACATACGTATTATTCTTTTCTCTTTCCATTTTCATCGAAAATTTGGTCGTGTATTTTTTGAACGTCCAGTATAATTTATTTTATTGTTTCATTAAAAATGTGTCTTCAAAATTTAGAAGAGTGTTTAATAAATAAGTTGACATACATACAGGGTGCCAAAAAAATAGTGTATCTAACTTTGGTAGGTGATTCTACAAATAAAAATAAAACAAAAAGTTCCTATGAATGGTGGTACTCCTTTCATTCTCATAGACACAGCAATTTCAACAAATGAGAATTAAAGCTAGGACTTTTTTTATATAAAAAAGCTCTAACTTTTTATGTCATTTGTTGAAATTACTGTATCTATAAGGATAAAAAAAGTACCACCAGCAATACTATCTACCTTAGTGGAAAGTACCAATTCAAGGGTGTTACGGAATTTTACACAATCGCCATTCGCTTTGGCATTAGAATGTGTGTAAGAGTACCAAATTACAGGAAAAATGGTTTATTCTACCAATGTTCTTAAAAATAAACAAATTATTAGCGTTTAAGGTCATATGTTTATAGGAACTTTTTGTTTTATTTTTATCTGCGAAATCATCCACCGAAGTTAGATACACTATTTTTTGACACCCTGTATATTAGTTTTCTGTTAAAATAATTGAAGTATATTTACTGTGATTAATTTGCCTATACATGTTTCAATGCAATCAATGCACATATTTGTTGTATAGTATACATTTATATATTTTTCTAACGTTTTATCAATTTTATTATTCATAGTTTGTTTAACTCACAAAATTTTCATATATCTATTGAGTAGTTAATTTAAAAAACAATATGATCGAATAAACGGCGTTAAGTTGGCATGGAAATGACGATCGATGACATTTACCATATACACTTGCGTGCATAGAAATCGGCCCAAGGCAAACTTTTGAAGTTAACTGTATATTTTTTAGAATCTATTTGTCAGATTAAGAAAAAATACATGCTGTTTGAAAGACAATTTTATATTCTTTGAAAAGAGTTTAGAGATATTAATTTGTATTTTGGTTTGTTTGGATTAAAATTATTAAATTAATGCATGAAACAAATTATCGTTTTTTATTACTAAGAGGTATGTTATTATTTAATTTATTTATTTATGGACAATTAACTAAACTAAATTTTCAATAATGGGTATGACCCCTCTTGCTCTAACAACATCTCTCATACGATTTGGCATAGATTAGATCAAATTTGATATTGTTTCTTGCGGGATGTTAAGCCACTCTTCCTCTACTGCAACAATGAGCTCTGGGATAGAAGTTGGGGCTCTTCGTCTAGTACGAATTCTTCGTTTTAGCTCATCCCGTAAATGTTCTATCAGGTTTAAGTCTGGACTGCATGCTGGCCATTCGATAACCCGAAATCCGACTTCTGAAATATAATCGTGTACGATTCTTGAAGTGTGTGCCCTCGCATTGTCATGCATAAAAGTGAATTCGTTTCCAATGTAGTCGACGTAAGGTACCATATGAACTGCTAAAATCTCCTCAATATACCTAGCACCAGTTAAACCTCCTCTCCCGTGCCGACGGTCGTCCCAACGGATGAAAACTGGGTTGGTTCGCGCAGTCATAGAAATTGCATCCCAGATCATGCAGGAACCACCTCCATAAGCAATCCGCTCCTCAATGCAGCATTCTGCGAATCGCTCACCTGGCCTCCGGTACACTTTTCTTCTTTGGTCGCTACCATAGAGGCATGTCCTGGTCTCATCTGAGAATAAAACAGATTCCCATTGTTCTAGTGTCCAATTCAGGTGTTCCAGTGCAAAACGCAGACGTGCTTGACGATGAGCTGGGGTAAGTTTTGGACCAATTGCTGGTATTTTGTGGTCATGTTACTTTCCTTCAATCTTCGTCTTACTGTCCACTGACTAATAGTCATTCCTCATGTTTCACGGAGCTGTTGTTGCCCCTGAATAGCATTAAGACGCCGATTTCTTAACATTGTTGACACAATAAAGCGGGCATCACGATCCGTTGTATATCTCTTTCTACCAGTTCCAGGTCGACTACGAAAGGATCGAGTCTCCTCATATCGTTCACACACTCTTCGAACGGCTCCGCGTGTCATTGTAGTTGCCGAGCTACAGCTCTCTGTTTAAGTCCATTTTCGATTAAAGTGATTATTTGGGCGGTTTTTTCCGCTGATGTATGCATTAAATTGAAACACTATTCAAACAATGAAACATAACTAATCAAAGAATAAAAGAACAATGTGAAAATTTCGATTACAAAGGTAGTAATTGCAATATTTGACAAGTTTGTTATTCTTATTGTCACCACAACACAAATACCTTTTATTTGTTTACCCGTTGGTACGCATATAAACGATAAGTACCCTGGATAAATTTATGCTCATATTAAAGCATGTTAAATTGTCTTTGAAACAGCTCATATTTTTTACTTGCTCTGATAAATAGATTCTAAAAGACACAGTTAAAACCAAAAGTTCACAGTGGGCCGATTTCTATGCACGTAAGTTTAGTTAAACAAACAAATTGACAGCGATTTTCGTTTCCAAGCCCACTCTGAGGCCGTTTTTCTTCCATCATATGGTAAAACTATTTTGGATGAACAACTTCAACTTTCGAACAAGATTTATTTCCCACCAAAAAGTGTGATTTCTAAAATTAAACTAAATAGAAAATTAAACATGGCATTTATTTTGTTATCACTGCTCGTATAGCATCTCTATTTTCAAGAGAGTATCTCTGTAGCTTCATTAAGATACATTCCAAGGAAGTTATATGACAATACACGGCTTTTAATTTACGCTTTTACTGGATATTTTGGTGGCAGAATTTTTGACAGTTACTTTTTATTTTCCAGTCCTTTGCGGCGCATGGTTCATATGCTACTCTTGAGACCACAACCATCAGAGTGGTTATACGAATTCTGCAGGTTGCTAAATATAATCCGAAATTAAATAACAAATCTTTGTGTTTTCGATTTTTATTACAACAAAATTAACAGTTTCTGTTTAACAATTGGCAACCATTATTTACTAATGCATTTTCGTTGTTTAATGTTTAGACTAAATAATGAAATATCTTTTAATAGTCATAACTAACCAAAAATATCATATCTTTTGTGTCTTCATATTTAAGTTTATACATAAAATCTTAGATAATTGCTATATTTTCTTTAAAAATTATATTATCTCATGATTTTTTATAGTCATGGATATTTTTAAATGGTAATTATCTGAGATTTTGGCATGGCCTGCTTGATAAGCTAGATGTATTATTAAATCTTGCAACTTAATAAAATTAAAGTAAATGATAAAAAATAAAACTTAATAAAATCTTAAGGTTGATACACATATTACCAATACGTACATTACAGAAGTAATCATAGAACATGTTCTGTGGTGGATTCATCACTTCGAAAAAGTCCAATGGGTATTTCGCCACTTGAACGGTCAGGAAATCTACAAAATAAAATATAAAAAATATATATACAATATAAAAAAAATATTAAAAAATTAAAAAATTATAATATGAAAGAAGCGATAAAACGAAAAAATAAAAGAGGCTTTTTTAATACAGTCTAATAAAAATAAATGTATTGCTCAGGCATCTGTAGACGTTAGTAATGTATAGCTATCGCTTCTTTAATTTTAGTGAACATAACATAAGTAAAAATTAAAAAATAATCATACAGAAAGTTTGAGGCTTTTTGGTTTTACCTCGTTAAGTAATTGTTATCAGGTAGTAATTGTTAATTTTGATGTTTAACTTGATTTAATGTTATTTTAACAGAACGCCAACGGTTTTTATAGACGTATCTGTTGAAAAAAACGAAAGTGTTCTTGAATAGTTGTATTTAGATATTTTAAATAGTTTTTTCTTTGTTCTTTGTGTTATTTTTTTTCTTCCGAAACGTTAAGTCTTTTTTTGTACGTTTATATCAATGGCGAAATACCTATTGGGCTTTTTTAAAGAACTGAATCATAGTTAATAATAATATACGTAAGAAACTTTTAGAGCACACTGTATGTGTATAAACAGAGGAATTTACTCTGAAGTCTACTTGATGAGAGAAGAATGATTTTCTTTTACTCTTGAATTAATATGACAGACAACTCTCACACTGATATATTTGTTTGATGGACAGACTATAGTTTAAATTTCTCTCTTGTTGAGTCTGGGGCATGGGACATTGTACAGGGTGTCCCATTAAGAATAGCTCTCGGCTGTATCTCGGAAAGTATTGGCCGTAAGGCCTACGGAAAAAAAATATTTATAATTAAAGGAGTTATGGGAAACTGCTGGAAATCATTTTCAAGTTTGTAAAACGGCCGTTAGAGGGCGCAACTGCTATGGTAAATAAGAAAATAATTTTTTTACAGAATTTTGCCTAGATAATGGGTACTATTATAAATAATAGCTTCATAATCTTCAGTAAATTTTTGATTTTTTTTTGTTAGAGCCATTTTCCCCTATCTGATAAAATAAAGTGGTGAGGGAAGTTTATATCTATCTTTATTTAAATGTTAATAACTCCGGACTCTCTGAATAATCATAATCCAACAAACGAGGGCTCGTTTAAAAGAGCATTCCTTACTCTATATTATACCGTAAAAATAATAATCAGCTTTTGAACGTAGACGATAGGGGGCGCTGTCTTACAATTTAACAAACTTTGCGCGTTTTTTCAAAAAAATTAAATACGATAGTATATGTAATTTTAACTGATAGAAAAGAGTAATAAAAGCTTAAAAAGTCAACGAAAACCGCATCTTGATATCTTCTTTCAAACCGAAGATATTAGTAAAATTATAAAAAATAACAAAATATAAGCCCTTAATTACTTTATTTCTATAACACGGTATCAGTAGCCCTCTTGATCATGCCCGTTCTAATAAAAAAATAAAATAGAAACGGTTAGTTTATTTTAAAATCGACGATATACCAGAATATCATAACACACCAGATGTATTAATATCTAATAATTAAGATATTAATAACAGTGAAAAAGAAATGATGCCTCAGTGAAGTCATGGTAGGCTTTGGAAAAAAGTTGCTTTTGACGTAATAGTATAAACGTCAAATTGTTGTTACATCAACATTTTGATGGTCTTAGCAGCGCTTTTTTCCTTTTAATTGCTTTTTCAAAATGCCTCTATTATTTGCAGTCGAAGTTGTCATTTTTCAAAGGCAATAAGAAAGATAAAAAACGCTGCTAAGACTATCAAAATGTTGATCTAATAACAATTTGACGTTTATACTATTACGTCAAAAGCAACTTTTTTCCAAAGCCTACCATGACTTCACTAAGGCATCGTTTCTTCATCACTGTTATTAATATCTTAATTATTAGATATTAATACATGTGGTGTGTTATGGTATATCGTGGATATTAAAATAAACTAACTGTTTCTATCTTATTTTTTATTAGAATGGGCATAATCAAAAGGGCTACTGATACCGTGTTGTAAAAATAAGGTAATTAAGAGCTTATATTTTGGTATTTATTATAATTTTGCTAATATCTTCGGTTTGAAAGAAGATATCAAGATGCGGTTTTCGTTGACTTTTTAAGATTATATTACTCTTTACTTTAAGCTAAAATTGCGTATACTATCGTATTTATTTTTTTTGGAAAAACGCGCAAGTTGTAAAGGGGGCTACTGACGTTCATGCATACTTGACAAGTGTACTTGTGCAAGCGTACTTGTATAAGAATTTTGAACGTGTGTAGGAACAAACTTGTACAAGTATTTCGACTTGTGCAAGTGGCATAGACTTGTACGAATTTTCTTCATGCCCCAGTGATTTGCGCAAGTATGCATGAACGTGTGTATCAAATTTGCGCAAGCCTGAAGTTCATTCTAGTAGGTTTATTGCTTGGTTCTTATTTGTTTGTTACCAGAAGGTAGATAAAAATGGCTAGGAAACATGAAAAAAGTGTGAGGGAGGTATTGGTGGAGTTCATTAGTATTTATAGAGAATCTCTTTGTTTATGGCAAGTAAAATCAAAGGACTATCATAATAATAAAAACAAAAGAGAGGCTGCATGTAAAAGCTTAATTAAAAAATTGCAAGAAATTGATAAAACTGCAACCCGCGATTTGATTGTAAAAAAATAATCAGTTTAAGAACAAATATTTAGCAGGGTAAAACTTCAATTCGTTTAAAATATTAGTATGCGAATAAATATTCCATTTTAGAAGGCAGTTTTTGCACCAAAATCGACGGGTTTTCTTTTTTTCTTTTTGTTTAAGCAGAATAACGAACATCGCAAGAGCTAGCGCGACTTCTTCGTCCATTTTTACCTACTAAAACCATTCAAGTGCGCTTGTATTGTGTGGAGTCAATGCAAACTTGTACAAGTACGTTTGCACAAGTACACTTGTCAAGTATGCATGAACGTCTGTAGCCGCCTTAAGACAGCGCCCCCTAGCGTCTACGTTCAAAAGCTTATTATTATTATTATTTTTATGGTATAATATAGAGTAAGGAACGCTCTTTTAATCGAGCCCTCGTTTGTTGGATTCTGATTATCCAGAGTCCGGAGTTATTAACATTTAAATAAAGATAGATATAACCTTCCCCCACCACTTTATTTTAGCAGATAGGGGAAAATGTTTCTAACAAAAAAAAATCCAAAATTTATTGAAGACCTATTATCTAGGCAAAATTCTATAAAAATTCTATTTTCATATTTTCCATAGAAGTTGCGCCTTCTAGCGGCCGTTTTAAAACTTAAAAATAATTTCCAGCAATTTCTTATTGCCCCTTTAGTTATAAATATTTTTTCCCGTAGGCTCTATGGCTAATACTTTCCGAGATACAGCCGAGAGCTATTGGGACACCCTGTACATAATGTAACCCACATTACTCATAATATGTTCTGGATCATAACTGGTTATGTGTGTATTGAGATCTTAGAAAAAATTAAAATATTTTACAAATTGATAATAATTAACATCTTGTGATTAAAAATTGACTTTTTATTCCTAGAATAAGTTAGTTTATAACAATAACTGTTATTTCCAAAAAAATAATTTTAGTAATTTTGAGTTATCAATTTATAGAATATTTTAATCAAGCTAATTAGAATGCTTAGAAAGTACAAAATAAAAGTACAAATTATATTTTTCACACTCAAAAGATATTTATTTAAAAAATACCAAATTCATGTCAGTTTTATTTATTTGTATAGAATATGCATGATTACATTTAAAGTAAAACATAACATACACACCCCTATAACTTTTTTAAAAATCAAAACAGGAGGTGAACGAAACTAACTGAATACGTCAATCAATCCATCACGTACTTTTACTTTTGTGCTTATGTTACATGTTCAAGCTTGAAAATCATTGACGCATTGCATGATTTCCTAAAATTTTCCAACATATGCTAAAGTATTTTTTCTTTTTCTTAGAAATTTCCGAGAATTTGGCGTCATCACAAACGACCCCACGGTTTGGTGGAAAGCGGGCTTAAGTCTGGCCGCTGTTACAGCGTTGGGCATTATCGTAGCAAAGGTACTTCACACCAGCGACAAAGTGAGATAAGGATCCATTGCCATATAATTATATTATGTAGTGTGCAGATATTTTATTGTAATATATAAATACGATCAATTATAATCAACTACTTTGCGGTGCTTTTGGTTTTTATGGTGTTTATAGGCGTTGTGTAAGTAGTATGAGACGGTTTTATTTTGATGGTACCTTTCTGTATGTCATAGAAAATATTTTGTACAAATTTATAGATCCTATACCTACCAGTTAAATTATTTTGAGTAAGGCGTTCTGTTTTTAGTTAAATTAAGTTTGATTTTATTATTTTTGTGATTAATAAAGATTTTAACTTTTATTGTAGTATTTTTTTAGTATACTTTATCTAGATATTGTTACAATATGATAATGTTAAATATATCGTATGATCGAAAAAAAAGGTGTCAAGCTAGCTTGGAGACGAACATCGATGACATTCCCTCTATATAATTTTTCATATAAAATGACAGCGATCTTCATTTCATAGCCATCGCTGATGCGTTTTTTTTTCGATCATATTGTACAGGGTGGGTCAAATCGGACGCTTTTAAAGGGAAACACCCTTTTCTGTAGGAGATATACGAAAAATAATATCGGTGTTTGGAGCTCAATTTTTATCAAAAACACGACATTGGTGAAAACCGCACTTCGATATCTGTTACCGTTTCTGAGTTACAGGGTGTTTTTCAAAAATGTGCATTTTTAAGAAATCGCTGTAACTTTTTTGCTATGGAAAATTTTGTATTTTTATGAAAATATTTCCAAAGAACCTTTTTACGTAGAATTTAATGGTTTAAGTATAACTTTTAAAATTAATAATTTAAGAATTATCAACAGAAAGTTTTATTTTTTATAAGGGACACCCTGTATATTTTTAATTCATTGAAAATAATTTAAAACTACCTTTCCAAAAATATAGCACATTAGATATTTTGCTTGATTTCTCTTCGAGATATGGGGTTTATAAAAATTTGCCTACTTTGAATAAGTAGGCTTTGAACGGCGCCGGCTGTAACCCAAAAAAAATCTAGCTGTGAGCAGCAATTAAAATAAAAATAATATTTGCAATAAGAGATGCAGAATTTTATAACAATTTAAACTATATTTAACAACATCAACACATTTAAACTATATCTAATAACAATGAAACTAAATAGCAAACCAAGGCATGAGATTTTGCTACAGGTGTTCGACATATCAACCGTCCTCTGTTATGGACAGACGGGACTGTTTTTTAAAATTTCTCGAGGAACTTAGTGGGTATTAAAGGTACCCTCGCATGACCACTAATTACTTCTAATTCTTGTCTAGATTGTACGGGCAAATTATAAAATCAGAACTTTATTCTTCCGCAAAGATAGAAATCCATAGGCACTAATCCGGCGGCCTCGACGGCCAATGGGGGGATCTTGGTTAGCTATTCAATTATTCTCGAAATTGGCTGCAAAAATTTACTGATAAGTTCAGCGTTCATCTGAGGCGGTGCCCATTGGCGTAACTACAGGGGAGCCCGGGGGTGCCGGGCCCCCCCTGGTACTGCTGGGTACCACCCAGATAAATCCTCAATTATGACTCTTGGCTACGTATTAATTTTTATTTGCTTGAGATGTAGTAAAAATTGCGTTTTCTAGTTTTGTTTAGTTAATATTATTTTGTTGTATTCAAAAATGTGTTAAATTTATTTTTTTAGAAAACTTATAGGTATTTATAAGTAATCTACGGGAACACGGTTTGATAACTAAGTCTATGAAATTTATTGATAGAGAAATTCTTGTAAATGTTTTATTCAAAAAATGTGTTTTTTAAATTTATTTTTCATTTTTAAAAAAACAAAAGCCCTAGGCTCCCCCTGGGCTCAATACTGGGGAAGAGATGAACTTTTAAAAAAAATTGTATTTCGTAAGGAACACTATAACAAAATATCAAGTGTGCTATATTTTTGGAAAGGTAATTTTAAGTTCTTTGCGGTTAATTAAAAATATACAGAGTGTCCCAAATAATTAAGTTTTATTAACTTAGGTGTTTAGGTGCTTTGGAAATGTTTTCATAAAATTACAAAATTTTTCATAGCATAAAGGGTGTTTCCCATAGGTGTTTCCCTTTAAAAGCATCCAAATTGACCCACCCCGTACAATTTCAATTTTTATTTTCAAGTGCTATTTCCTAAGAAAATGTAAATTATTTACTTCGAGAGCCACTTTAATTAGGTAATATTTCAGTTTTTTTATAAATATTTTTTTTGTTTATTGAGAATTTCATATTAATAAAATTAAAATATTTATAATATTCTAAATCTAACAAGCAATATTAAAAACTTATTTGAAGTAAATTTGGTAAAAAATTAAACTTCTTATTTTTCTCAGTGTAGACAAAAACTTTATTTGAAATGTTTAAGAAGATTTTGGGTATATATTAGTGTATATATTTCTGTCGTTTCTCTAAAACTTTTATAATAAAACTAGGATATTCTTTGCTAAAAAGTTAAAATAATTAATGAATAAAAAATTAAAATATCTGATTTTAAAAACTAGGCGGCTAATTTACGAATGGGATATATTTAGTTGCATAATGCTTCTAAGTAAAATTGTTCTTTATTTGGATTGCTTTTGAATTTACCATAAAAAGAAATTACAAATGGAAGATACAATTTTCATCCTAAATACATAATGAGTTTTTTGTATTTTTTAATTCTTTAGTGCTATTTTTTACTTTATTTTATTTAAGTTTTATTTAGAACATCCTATAAAAATTTAAAAATAGTTAGTTGAAATTAGGCAACTAGTAATGCCTGAAACATGTGCGCCATCTTCTTTGACACTAATTTTCTAACCTCTTTTCTGGCTGTTCCTTGAGCAAAATAAGATTTTTTTGGGACTTCCAAAATAAATCGCAGGTAATTTACGAAGCCTAGAGCCATCCCCGTTTGAAACAAAGTTGGAAAGATAGTGAAAAAGTTACTCTAACAGAATTTGTGACTATTTTTTGTGTAAAATCTGTGAAAAAGGAGAAAAATTGGTCCAAACTTTGACAACCCTCTCTAACCTATAAACTTTGTTGACAAGATTTTGCATGTTAAAGTTTTCGTTATTTTCAAAGATTTCTTACTATTTTACTTATTTAGTATATCTAACACGTTAATAAAAGTATAAAAGTGGTGGTATAGTGTATGTAGTATATATCTAATACTTTATTTATTTTTAGCCATGGTTCGTATGAATGTACTAAGTGATGCCCTTAAATCCATTAATAATGCTGAAAAGCGTGGGAAGAGGCAGGTCCTTATCCGTCCCTGCTCGAAAGTTATTGTTAAGTTTCTCACAGTAATGATGAAACATGGTTATATTGGAGAATTTGAAATTGTTGATGATCATAGAAGCGGTAAAATTGTTGTAAACTTAACTGGTAGACTAAACAAATGTGGTGTCATTTCACCTCGTTTTGATGTACCAATTACGCACATAGAAAAGTGGACAAATAATTTGTTACCTTCTAGACAATTTGGGTAAGTTGATTTGCAACATTATAGCAGTTATAGTAAAATAATTAATATACATTTATTCAACATGAGAATCTCACCTTTTTCTATGTTATATTATTTCTGTGGTACTAAGGCAGAACTCGATATGTTAACATTATTTATTCTTCTTTCTTCTCAAACTCTCCGTTTTAGGAGAGAGTTGCGTTGCCTAGGCTGCCAGGGCCATTCTGGCAAAGTACTTTTCTGCTTTTCTTTTTTCTGGGTAGTCACGTTTTATGGACCTTCACTGATTTATCTTTCTTAACGACTAACCATTATTGAGGCTATTAAACAGGTTGCTTTAAGCTCTGTGACTAATCAGTTATGCATGCATTCTACAAGTATTACGAATAAGTCCCAATCATTACTGTGCGTTTCAAGAAAAACATTATTTCTGATTTTCTGTCTTTGTACCACAGATTTATAAATAATTGTATTTTAAGGCAATTTCATACAAATAAAGTTTTATCATTATTTTTGCAATGAAAAGAGGCATATATGTTCTATTCTATTCTCACAAGTGCATTTCTTATATTCTATTCTTACAAGTGTCAATATAAATCCTTATGAAATAAATATTATACCAAAATGAATAACAAGAACCAGTTTATTTATTTTAAATTTATTAAGTGTATAATCATACATATTCCATAATAAAATAGTGCCATTCATTACTCTGAACACATTATATTTTAAAAAAAGTTTCTTCTCTGTTTTCTATATTAATTATTTTTGAAATGTATCATTTGTGGAGCTAAAAATACATATCAAAAGCATTAAGAGGTTGTTTTATGGTACTTTTTTACTTTTATTAGATGTAGTAAGTAAATATTGTTTCAAATAATGTAAGTGTTTGTTTTGTTAATTTTTCAGATATGTTGTATTGACTACAAGTGGAGGTATTATGGACCACGAAGAAGCTAGACGAAAACATCTTGGAGGAAAAATTTTAGGGTTCTTCTTCTAATGTAAATTATTACAATAAATTTTTTAATGTAAGAACAATGTGCCTTTTATATTTTGAATAGTCTTTACTATAGTAAGCAGTACTATTCCATCTAGTGCATAGTGTATGTATTTTAAAATAATAGTAAAACAGAAAACAGAACTACTTATAAAAGTCATGACTAGTGGATATACATCTGTACCTCAGAACCCAGGAGCAAACTATGTTAAGTCTCAAAACAGTTTTCAGAAAAACAAATTTAAAGTTATTTTCTAATTACTCGGTTATTTTTAAACCAATGATTGTAATATTTGGGGTATGACCTTATTTGGAACTTGAAGGAAACTTTTTTTTTAATAAATTATACCATTTTTTGGAGTGACCCAAATATGTCAATTTTGGACTTAACATTAGTTTGCTTTTGGGGACACGTTTAATATAATCTACATTTTTTAAATTTTGAAGGTAGTGATTAGCATAATGACTCAGTTTTGTAAAATTCACTTATAAAAATTGGCATTTATCTCTAGTTTTTGCAGAATTTAAAATTAAATACTATTTATTCCCACAGAGAACAGATTACATGTTATCCGTGCTATTGCTCTTAATTCCTATTATCAATTTACAATCGAAAAAAAGGTGTCACAGTAACCTTAGATATGTGAAAAGACGATATTTTTTGGTTATTCATTAAATTCCTATAAAAATTTGGCGATTTGTTAGCTGTTTCCAAACATTAAATTTTAGAAATTCTGAAAATCAAACCATTCTACAGAAAAAAACGGCACCATAGCTGGCTTGGGAATGACGATCGATAGGTTTACAAAATACCATACGATCGAAAAAAAACGGCGTTATAGACGGCTGGGGACCGACAATCGATGATAATTTTGTCGAGGTCAAGCCCTAGACATCATTACTTGGTCCGTACTCTATTTTAATACCACTTACCGTCAGTTGGCTTTAAGAAGGTTGTAATTTATTTTTATATTGAGTAAAAATAATTTTTAAATGTGAAAATAATATTTTTCAAGTTTTAATTCTTAATAAATGACGTATATGGGTCAACCCGACAGAAATTATCATTTGATATTTTAAAGGCTATTGTGACGCCCTTTTTTCGATAGTAATTTTGAATGACGCATAAAAAAAATGGAATAAAAAACTTAATTTAAATTGGCCGGAAAAAAGTAGTTTTTATCTGATTGTGTAAAAATTTTATGCCAAACAAATATTAATTGTTCAGTAAGTATGCTTACGTTTATAAATAATGTGTGTTTTAGAACATGCATAATTTTTTCTATTGAATTTGAATAATATTTAAGTTTTATTTCAATTAAAGATAAATAAGTCATTAATTGTTATATTTTTCATACAATTTTCCCGAGAGGAGCATTTATAAACCCTTTTTTGTAAATAGCAAAACAAATCTCTAATTTATTTCCGAAGTGATACATATAAAACAAAAATTAATAAAAAAAATAGCCGCGCCACTGGTTGAGCCACGTGCTTTTGTTGTCAAATTCAAACTTGGTTCCCCAACCTGCCCGCCAGATCTCGCTGGCGGCAGTCAAATGCCTCATTGGTCATTCGCCTCCGTACCTGTGGCGCTTGCGCCCGAAACTTTTCAACAAGAAACATGCAGTTCGGAAAGTTGCATTTTACGCGACGTGTGCGGTAGTTAAGCGCGCGTTCCAACTGTTGTTCGCTTACGAATTTACTAACATAAAAAAATATAAACAAACGGTATCGCGAGTTTTTCTCCTAAACTCAGGAACAGTTTATCGCAATTCTATAAGTGAAAATAGTGATCAAAGTGGGCTGTGCGAGAAAACAAAACATCAACGGCTGAGAATCAAATGCATCCACAGGTGTCTTTCTAACTTTGTTAAACTTCTTCGGCAAACGCGTCCCGTGCTTTTTCACGGGCTTACGATGAATTTGACCGGATAACGTGAATTTAAAGTACTTGTTGGAGCAATATGTGAGTTATTTTGTTGAAAAAACTACGGTTACGGTCGACCTTCACTGAATGTAAACATAAAAGCAGTTCTTCGGCTACACCTTGAATCAACATGGAAGTAATTCGACGGACGATACAGCGAAAATATGGAATTTTAGGATTTAGCTTAATGATTACCAGTTTATTGTGTCGGACAATTAATGCAGGTAGGTGTTGTGATGTTAGAAATGTAAATATTATTATGCAAATGTTTGATTTCGGTTAATTAAGATTATCTCATCAAGGATCTTTGGAAAGTTGTGTATTTTTGTCATAAAACCTGTGTATTTCGTTTGTTTTGAACTCTGTTGTCATGACGATGATGTACACAGCTGTTTTCATCTTAAAGAAAACTTTTGTAATAAGATATCTATTTAAAAAACAGCAACCATTTAAAAATATTACCTTGGTTATTTTGTATTGTTTAATAATTCATCCTGGGGCATAATATATTCTAGATTTTATTAGGCTGTTGCATGAACCTGAACTTTTTCTGAAATGTTATCGTTGCGTTTTATGAGGAAATACCTCGAGAAATACGGAAAATACCGAAATATTTTCCATGCCGAAGGCCGTTTTCCTTCCCATTACGAACTTTCCGGCTCCAATTAAGATTATTTCCAGTCAAGAAGCGAATTGAAAAGTTGTTTCTTAACTTAATATTTGTGAGTCATTTAACGGTGGCCTTGACGTCAGGTAGCTGTGATTTTATCGGTAAAAAGGGTCACCAGACTGTGTTGTGTTTGGAAGGGTTAGATAATAAACGCCGGGTGCTATTAATGGCTTTTTAAAGGGCCTTTTAATTAAAATGTTTTAGAGTTAAGCTTAATATCTTTCTTGTTTTAATTGAAAGTATCGTTTATTATTAGCTCTTAAATATACCGTATGAACGAAAAAAAAAGCGTAGTCAAGTTACCTTAGAAATTAGGATTGATGACATTTACCATAATACAAGTTTATCTAGGTATAAAATATCATCGACTTTTATTTTTAAGGTAACTTGACGCCGTTTTTTTTTCGATCTTATGGTAAGATCTCGGGTAGGATTAAGTTTTTTCTCGCTTTCTGATTTTTGTCATTCATCATGTAATAGCCAGATACCTACAAGAAACGATATAAAGGAACATCAGAAATAGCAATTGGTGTCTTCATTGTCACTAGGGTTTCCGGAACCGGAACTGTTTTTCGGAACCGAGAATTTCGGTACCGCGCCTCTTACGAACCAGGATTTCCCGTTTTTTTCGGTACTTTTGGTACTGATTAATTTTTGTTCAATGGTGGTGCAGTTCATCAATCAGAAAGCAAGGGATTGTTTTTCAAAGTAAAATGGATAAAAAATTGAGATTTTTAATGAAAATAGGTAATATCTTAATATAACTTAATAATTATTAAGTAATCAGTCATGAAAAAATTAATATGAACACAAGTAAAGAAAAAAAGTATTAAGGTAACATACATTTCACATCAAACAGCATAAACCAACTTAACTGAATTTGAGAGGAAATCCCTAAAATATTGAATTAAAAATGCAAATATCTATAGGACGGTCCACACTTGCTATATAGCAAAGTTATATAACATGTTACATATTTTTTAGTTATATTTAGCAAATTTCGATGCTATATAACTTGCTAGATGTTATCCATTTGTAGTCGGTAAAGATCAAAAGATGTTGTACAACATTGCTATTGTAACATGAAACAACGCGTCCACACTTGCTAAATTTCTAGTTTAGCCGCTCATATTTTCAGGGACGTGCGCGACAGAATCTTAGTATGGTGAGCTTATATTGGGTTTGTTTATTTACTAGTCAATAATAACGTATGATCGAAAAAAAACTGCGTCCCGTCGGCCTCCCGTCTAGTTGGCTTGGACATGACGATCGATGACATTCCCCATATAATTTTCCATATAAAATGACAGCGATTTTCATTTCATAGTATGTATTTGGAAACAGAAAAAGTTGAGAAAAAAATGCGTTATCTAATAGGCCAGTTCCAGCGGGAACAAAAGAAATGCAAATCAGGTACTGCATGGTTTAGATGAAGTGAATAATAATAATAATAATAAATGGTCTTTATTAATAATTAATCAATTACAATAATGTATTAATTAATTACATAGGCGAAGTCTAGCTCACAGAGCCATTCATACTTAACCTAATCAATACATTTATAATATGCATAATAAGAAAAGAAACATAAATTCGAAAATAATGTCCAGATGAAAATAAAATAAAATGAGCAATAAATGTGGCTCGATTGTATGGACCAATACGTTTTAACAAACACAAAAAATTTAAAAAGTAAACAATCAAAAAATGTCACAATAATTATCCTAAGCTTGGGGTCTGTTGTTCCAGCAATAAATAGTTTTTCAGACTTGATTTAAATTCAAATGATGAACATAGAAAAAACAAAGTTTGAATATATTTTCTTAAATTATTAAAAATACATACAGAGTTGTAAGTAAACGATTTCCGAAACATGGCCGTTTTGTGATTTGGCATAGTAAGCATTTTTTTGTGTCTTATATTTAAATCATGCATTGAATTCCTAAAATTTAATTTTCTGAAAAGATCAAAAGGAAGCGTAGTATCTACAATATTCTTAACGGAGGTCAATATTCTTAATTTAAATAATTTATTTAGTTTTAGCTATTTGAGTGTCTCAAAAGCTGAGGAAATGTGATCATACTTTCGTTTATTTAGTATCAGACGACAGCAGTTGTTCTGAATCCTCTGTAGTCTATAAGCATCAATTGAACTGAGGCATGGAAAATATACCATACTGCAATATTGCAACTTTGAGAGTACGAGACTCTGACATAACGTTTTTTTCATGTTATATGTCAATATATGCTTCTGGGAATACAGAAGTTTCAAACTCAAATAACATTTAATTAGAATTAAAAATGGTTTGCTTTTGCTTTTAAGTTATTAATGTTTTTAAAAGACAGAAACACACCACGAGAAACAGCCGAAGCAAGTATTGAAAAGATAAGCTAATTGAGTTCATCTGTATCTAGATCTTGCTGGTAGGCTATGGCGGACTCAAAACCGCTTTTTTTCTCGACTGTCTTTCCCTTTGTTCAAAAATAATTACGCACGCCGCTGCTGCGAGCTGAACCTCTTTCTCTACAAAACGATTCATGACTACGAAAACTATAATGTGGACGGCTCCCGGTTTTTTAACATGTAAAAAGGTGCGTATTCATTATCTGTACGAACGAACGAACGAATGTACGCTAGTGGTATGGACGGGGACCGCACGATAGGACCGCACGAGAAGACCGGAGGCATCTTTAAAGGTGCGTATTCATTATCCGAACGAACGAACGAACGAATGAAAATGCGATATATTTAGACGGGGACCGAACGCATGCGTCCGTTCGTTCGTTCGTTCGCTCGACCATCCGTTTCGAGTCGGTACATCAAAGGCGTTCGCCAACAAATGCCTCCGGTCTTCTCGTGCGGTCCCCGTCCATACCACTAGCGAACATTCGTTCGTTCGTTCGTTCGTTCGTTCGTTCGGATAATGAATACGCACCTTTACATGTAGCTTGTTAAATAGCAATGTTATATAACATGTTACTAAATGTGGACCCTCCTTATTAAAACATAACATAATAAATATTACAGGAACTTCAAAAGAGACTCAGAGATCATTACTTAGGTATTTAGAAAAGAGTTTAGAGCTGCCAGAACCGTACTAAAATATTTTCGTTCAACAATTTTGTGGAGTTAATTAGCAAGCAAGGGATGGTTCTCAAAAGTAAAACCGATAAAAATTGAGTTTCAAATGAAAATAATATCAAATTATTAAGTCATGAGAAAGTAAACGAATACAAATAATGAACACAAGCGAAAAAAAAATGAAAACACATACTTAGGTAGCTTAAAAATTACCTACATCAAACATCAACCAACCTCGAAACCAACTTAACTAAATTTGAAAAAAAACTTAACATTTTCAGTTGATATGCAAATGCCTATAAAAACATAAAGAAAACAAAAAATATAACTAATACAGTTAGCAATATTATACTAAATAATAAAATAACATTTAAACTTCAATAATTGCTACCTACCTAATAAACATTCAAAATAACTTCAAAAGTAAGAACAGTAAGATATATCGTCATTAATTATTTAGAAGAGTCTGATTTCGACCGCTAGAAATTATCAAGTCTTTCGCACGTAACAAGAAATAATGTTTTTAATTATTATTACCGAGTCCCCAAAGTACCGAAAGAACCGGGAATTATTAATTTCGAGTCCCAGTTCTTTGATGTCTCAAAAGAACCCGCGGTACCTATAATATCAAAAAGAATAGGGTATGTACGGTGTTTATATATGTCACCGAAATATGCACCCTGTATAGAGTATTTCAAATTTTTCATTTTAAAAATACCTTTTATGAATGAATTTATTTTTTTTAACGCCAAGTAATTGTGTTAGTCATGCAAGTGTGTAAAATTATCTATTTATATGTGTGAAAAGAAATGGAACGTAATAGTTTTCAATTAATTTCAATTCTCTAGCAATTTAACGAATGGAAACTTATAATTTTTAAAGAAAGTGACCCTGAGAAGGAAAGTTACAAATAGAAACAGTTTATTTTTTTAAGGTTATTGAATTATTTTTTATTTATTATTGATATTGACCATTATAACTTATTAATTAATCTATTAATTATAAACTAATAAGTATACGAGTACATAATACAGGGTGGCCCATCGAAAACGTTCCGCAAGGCATAACAGCCAGGGTATTTTTTTGTTCAAAAAATCCTAAAACACGTCAAATGATTGCAAAATCTTCAACCTTTTAAGCGGGGGGTCATCCCCCAACTTTTTCAAATGGAAAGGGGGGTCAAGTGGCGTCTCAATGAAAAGGGCTTTCTATTCTCTATATTTCCCCACTTCGTTTTTAAAAATCGGTCCAGTCATTTTGAAAATATGAAAGATTGAAATTTGAAAAGTACTTTTTGCAAAAAAACGCATAAATTGAATTAATTAAAAAAACTTATATTATTAATGAAGCAAATGCTGAAAATGTTGCCCGTCAACCTCCATACAGTGAAACAAATTATTTTCAATCCGTTCTAGAACATTCTGAAGAACTTGCGGGGTCACTTCGCGACAAACATCAATAATTCGTCTTCGC